CTTCACTAGATGCAGGTTGCATAGATAGTGAATTTGAAAGACACCATACCATTTCCAGCGTTATTTCTTCTCCATGTAATGTCCGAGATGCGCAGTTTTGTATTAAAACCACGACTATATATGGAGGTAATATTTCAAATGCTTAAATAATTTTAAATTAGCAATAATGGGCACAACGCGTTTCTGCAGCAGTAAGTCCCTTGGAAATCAATGCCAGTATGTTGACTTTGCGGATCATAATAGGATCTATCAGTCTTGTGTCTATACCTGCTCAGCTGATGGGTGCAATTCATCAAATTCAGCCTTCACGTCAATTGTTTTAATTTTCCTTGCCTCTTTTGCGTCTCTAAGCTTTTATTTGTGATTTAAGCTTTAAAATCAAACAAATCCACCTTCGAAATTTTTTATTATCGTCCGGGCACAGTCAAATTTTAAGGTCTGTTCCTTTTTAGTGAATTTTGGATTCGCATGTCGTAGTTAAATGTTCTGGCCATTTGGAACAGTATTGGATAAAAGTACCGCTCGCACACTTAGCAGTAAACTCAACTGTTATATCTGTCAAATTTGACTTTTAACAAAGGAAGCATTGTAATGTCCGACTTATCTAACTATATTTGAAATATATTGGATTCTGTTTAGTCGCAATAAACGTCAGTTTGTCCAAGGTTATTACGAAACTGGAGCTCGCCATTAGGACCAACAGAACTGTAGCAGAACATGAATTTTCATATTTGTGGGCTTTGATCAATTCTTCATCCCAAGGAATGAGCGGAAGTACAGTTTCATATTTACGTCATGTCCTATGTTCTAACAAAATCCGTCTCTATCCTGTGAGGTTGAGGTGAGGAAATTAGCCTCCCCATCTGCAGAAACAGAGACACTGGTTTTACTGTAGACCAGTTCCCACCCGGTGACCGGAATTTGTTTAACTAGTGGAATTGGAGTTTGCTAACATGGAAAGAGTAACGCAACCCAAGATGAGCCCTATAATTTTTTTCCTAAACAGGCTTGTGGATTATTACTATCTCTACACTATAAGGAGATTCTTTAAACAATACAACTAACCGGTGCTAAAAATTATTGTACTCTTCGATCCCAAGATCTAATTTTTATAAATAACAAAATAAGGGTCATTTCAAAGTCTTTTTCCTCATATATGTACAGTTTTGCTAATACAGTTCCAACTCTGTACAAGAAATCATAAATAGCTCTAAGTCGACATTAAACATCGGCACACAGACAAAAAGGAGTGAAACAGAAACACAAAAAAAGAAATTATAGAAGTAAATGCAACTTCTCTCTCAGAGAAGAGTGGGGACGGGGAGGAGCTCAAGATATCACTCAATCCGACAGCTGTCAAAAAAGAAGGAATTTCGAACAAGACTCATGGTAGAGTCATAATCACCTGAGAGAACATTGTCGCGGAGAGCAGCCAATTCAGACTGAACTGCTTTGCCATCAGGGTCTCGACGGGGAAATAGACTCTCGTGAATGAGTTTGCCCATCAAGTAATGCAACCAATACAGATTTGTTATTGGTTTAAATGGCCGCCAATTATTACTACAAAATTCAAATATATTCCTTATTATAGACAATAGGCAATTGGGTTAGCTTCAGAGATAAAGCATGAACAAAACTTCATTGACCGATCACCAATTCATTACCATCTTCATAATGAATACACGCAATAATTTAGGAGTCGAATCATAATATTTGAACTTTGAAACATTATGCAAAATTCTAATAGGCTTTGTTGGTGTCCTAACTTTGCTACATAGATAAACCTGATGTATGAGTACAAGTTTCCTCTAGCTAGAGCTACACAAATAAAACCTGGCGTGGCCATAGTAAAGTTCAAGGAATTTTACACGATAAGAACCAACTATAATAAAGAAAACAAATAAAAAAGAACACACCCATTCATATCGCGCATCATCCGGTATATTTCAAACTGATAATCACCTTCGCATTCAAAAATTTCAGGAGAATTCGACATATCCACGTAAACAACGTTTCCATCTAGAATTACAATTAAATAGGTGATCATTCTTTATAATATGAAATACTGTGGTAAGTTATTAACTCTCGAAAGAAAGGCGAAAATCAAGAGACTTTAATAAAAGGACATCGTATCTATGGATTCTACAAACCAGACAAGGTGAGTTACGTCATGAGAAGATAGGCAGCTAGGCCGGCTGCTATAGGGTGTGCGATAGACTTACCTCCACGTGGTGCACCGTGGGCAACGTATACTCACACGGCAAAAAAGCCTATTAACTGGCAGTTGACTTCAAACTACCATGACCCCACTGTATGACATATTCGACCACTTCCACAGTACTACATCAAATTTTTTCTAAATTTTTAACCTTCGTCTTTGAAACACTCTTCAGTTCCCCTCCTCTCAACTTTTTTTTCACTTTGATGTTCCTTCCCCTCTGTGAAGTCTGAAGACAACTAAAGGGCTAATGATAACCATCAAAACGCCTGCTATTTGATATAAATAAATAAATAAGTGAGTTTACTGCTAGTTTCCCTATCCGGGTGGGTCGGACTTCGCATATCCTTCAAAGATTGAGGCAAATCTTTAATTGCAGAAGCCTTAAGCTTGAACGATTTCAAATTTTACTTTAGTACCCACCATTCCCAAAATAGTTGAAGAAAACAGCCCCGAGTGCGCAACTTCTGCCTCATTTGAATCGAGTCGATTAAAATATAAAGAAGAGTTTCCAATGGGCGCAGATGATCGTCTAACAAAATAAAAATTAATGCTAAATAAACAAGGAAGTCTCCACAACAACATTAAGATGCTTACTGCTATTGCTTTAAAAGCCAGCAGCTACCCAAAAGTCCCCGAATCCAATAATAAAGATAATAATAATAAGTAATAGCCCGATTCATAGGCTTTACTCCACATTTAGCCAAGAAAAAACGCCCTTTGGCACAGTTTTAGCCAAGAAAAAACGCCATTTGGCACAGTTTAGAAAACATTTAAATTTGATGAATAATTACCGGTAAATTTTCACTAAAATAAATTACTCATTTCTATCTAAGACCTTAGTGAATAAAGACATAACTGCAAGAAGACCCTGATAAGAGAATGAGGGAAATATTGAATAAGGCGATTCAGTAACAATATTGGAACTATGTAATAGATTTCGTTTACTCTAAATAAGAGAGCCGATAAAAATTGAGATTAGAAAAATGAGTCAGACGATTACCCGTTAGTCTACTATTTATGTAAAATCAAATAAAAGAAATGTATAAAAAATGGCTAATCATATTCATTTAAATAATATGAGAGGTCATCGAAACTTTGAAGGTATGTGCTCAGCATCTGATCACGACATATAAAGATACTTATACTCATCAACTTTATGGGTTATAAAAAAATGCCTTCCTTTCATTTCTTGCAAGTGGGCACAATGGAAACATTATAAACAGGACAAAGTAAGTAGGACTAAGTATAAAAACGTAGGGAACAGAAAAAAATATTTGGCTTAAAAATCCAAAATGCCACAGTTAAAAAAGAGACTGCTTACCGCGACAAAGACGAGACACAGTGAAGTCTATAATACAAACCTGAATACCCTCCGTTTGTACAGAATAGCTCAAGCCGTCGACGCGATATCGCAGTTTCGTCTGCTTGGTAGGCTTAACAAGTACGTTAAGCCAGTGTAAATCGCGATGCTCAAATTGTAAGGCTGATTCCGCTGCGGCTAACGAAAGAGCTATCTGCTCTATCACCGAATGAGCTTCACGATAAGAGGTAAACTGTTTAAACAGAAAGTTTCAAATTTTAATGATTCAATAATAAAAGTCGGTAACAAGCAGTAATAATTGTAAAATAACATCATGAGTAAGGCAAAGAGAATAGAGAATTATCAAAGCAAAACCGATTTAAAACAGAACACGAATTACCTTGAAAGTACCCAGAGGTTTACCAGCATAGTCGAATTCTAGAACCATCCATTCCTGCGTTTCTGGTAGGAAGTCGAGGCATTCATTATCAGAACCATTAACTGCTTCATACTTCTTCCAGGCCTTAACTAATTCCTGTGGCCATTTTCCATTAACAACAGCACATCTAAAATAACAGGCGTATAAGGGAAACAAAAAAATGCTTTCGAGACTCACACAGAACATATTCTTACCTCCGGAGCTGGATAAAATTGACGGCCCGATTTTGCCGGTATTTGAATCCAAGTTCTGTTAACTGTCTAAAAGGGAACATAATAGTATCATTAAAAAAACAAAACGAAACTGATGGTATTCAAATCTTCTACAAGATTTGCGCAATTTGAAAGAAACTGATATGGCCACTACCGAATAGCATCACCTAATTGATTTTTTCAGTATACTACGAAATCATCTCATTTATGCAAAAAAAGATATTGGAAGGGAGTAAATACCTGATAATCCATTAACTTAAACGTAAAGCAAGCATTTCCCATTGATCAAAAACTTACTAGGATGTAGAGCAGAAAAAGAGAACTTTCATCCGAAATAGGGTGTTTGGATATCGGTGAATTGTAAACATTGCAACTTACTTGGAAATAAAGACCTCGGGAAATACGCGATAGGATTCCATTTGACGTTCACCGTTAACAGTAAAAGAGCCATCAATTGGGAATATTTTAATAACGGAACTTTTGTTTGATTGAAAGACTTCCCCATAAACACCCTCGCCAATTTTGATTATATTCTCCAGACATCTAAATTAATTAAACATTCATTACTTTAACAACTTACTCGGCATCAAAAAATGAGGACATCGATTTCACTTCTGTTTGACCGCAAAGTTCTAAAAGTTTTGTCCTGGGGTCAGAGGTAAATGAATGGTTCTAAAATATGAAGAAAGGCGTAATACAAAAAAAGATTATAATTACGAGGATTGTTTCATTCTCAGTTCCAGATTCATGAGTACAAACAGAATGACACAATGACACATCAGGGTCTATTTCGATTTTGCAAGCATCAAGTCTTTTGATCTTCGCTGACTGATCTTTATTTAAAGACTTAAACCGTCGTGGTGAAACAATTTCGACTAGGTCCAAATTTGTCATTTTCGAAGATGTGGAAATATTGAGGTTTTCTTGATCATCAGCATATGAGGCACCATTCCACTTCGAGACAACAGGAGACTTCTTCGACACATCAATACGATTCGGTATGCGGGCACCATTTAAGCTACGCAATCTCTGCCGCCTGAGTGGAGTTTTCGCACCCCTTAAAGAATATCTTGCAACTTTTTTCGTTCTGTGAAGATCACACGACAGATTATTAACCAAAGAACCCGATCGAAGGCGCATTTAGTTCTGACGTTAATTATATTCAGATAACTTAATATATGCCAGAAAAAAGGTTGCGGCAACACAGAAGTGCACAGAAACAAAAATCAAAAATGAACACCAAAATCAAAAAGAGTGGGACACATGAATCGAACCCGGTTCTTTAAAGATAAAGACATAGTAAGCTATTTTTGGTTGTTTCAAATGAAATTTAAAACGCTTGTCATATAATATTTATATATATCTGCATGTTAGGTCTAGACAACTATTGCAAACTAAATTTCCACGTGCCATAAAGTAACTGTTTATTTGGAATATGTATTACATATTTTCATCATCTTAAGAATTCATTAATGATTTGCTTATTTATTTGAATTGGTATGTTTGTTATTACATATGAATTAGTATCAAAAGTTAGCTTAAGCTATAAACTATTGATTATTACGAAAAATAGCATGATTAACGTTTAATAGTTCTTTCATCATGAACTTCGATCCATTAGTCTTTAAAGTTTTCTTTCAACCTTCATCAATTGCTGACGAAAATTGCAATTATATCTTCTTTGTAAAAGCCCGCATATAATGAATGAGCAATAAATGTTCTTTAAGCTAAACCTGATATAAACAAATTTCATGACACGTTGATATAAACTTCGACTAATTTTTTTATTTCAATTTTTATTTCACAATGGTTTTAGTTTTGCCTGCTGAACCTGAACTGCTGATCGAGTTGTTTAATGGGCTGTATTTGGTGAGCAAATAATTATAAACAATAATTAAATGATGACTAATTATATCTTTCGGTCGCCATTGATACCGAATAAGGATTACATGATGTATCATTAGTTAAGTCATTAAAGAGAGTGCAACACGAGATGTAATATTTCGGAAGCAATTATCGGCACTTTTAATACTGTTGCAAAATCTCTATTTGGTCCATAGAGAATAATTTATTGATTAGGACATTTTTTAAGAATGTTAAAAACAAGCTTTAATTTATAACTGAACATCCATATGATGTAAATTAAAGCCCACAACACTTAAATAAGAAAATTAGTATTTGGTTGTTATTGAAATAGAATTTACTTAATTACATTTTCATTTCTTTAATAACTTCGTAGGTGACGTACGAACCAAATGTTAGAAAAGTAAACCACTTTTCATAGGATATTCGTATCATAATAAATCATCTTGTTATTTCTATTTTGAAAAAAATAAATATTTATCTGAACATTATGGTCTTCAAAATTTTGTGAAGTTTTTTGTAGTAATGCATTCTGGTTACTTATTGAAATATATAATCATTTTAAATAAAATTAGGAAACTTATAACGTTATATCGGTTTTTTTATTTTTTGGTGATTCAAACCCGTGTCTTCTTTATCTACATATTTCTGTCAAAAATTATAGCCCTTTTTAACATTTGTATGTGATCTCGTGTATTTAAATTATCTTTAGTTTTTCTTGAGTGTAAGGCACGAAATTTTTAATTACTTAAAACAAGCTTTAAAATTAATTATGCCTTATGTTTTTTAGGATATATAAGCTTTTTTTCTTAATAAGTGACGTCTTCTCACTCTGGTTACACTTTCCGTATTTTGAAACCAAAATAAGAATATGTCGTTACAAATTTAATTTTACTAAAGTTTCCATAAAGGCAATTGAATTAATTAATGGTTTATTGATGCGCATTTTCGTATTATTTTTATATTTTGCGTCCCTTTATGCTAGGGTACATATGCTTTTCTTAGGAGTCTAATTTTTCATCGAAGATAATAGCAAAATAAATAATTGAGGGATATTGTTGTGTTATTTTGAACAGCCTTTGCATTGTCTAACTATCGATTACTTAATAATTTTTAGGGCATTGCAATTTTAGTAGAAGCATCTTTTACAACTAATTAATGATATAAACATGCAATTTTTTACTACTTGTTTAGTTACTATTCAGACATATACACTAGTCAGAAATAGGAACAGATTTATTTGTAAATGATTGGAGAAGGCGACCTTATATTTTTTCTTGATTCGAATTTGCATCCCAAATTATCAAAAGTTGGTTTTACTAAAAAATCAAGAGTTAATCAGACATACTCAGATAAAGTGCGTGATATGGAAATGTCTAAAAGGCCCTTATTTATGTGGACTACTTTTAGCATTTTTAAGTTTTAGTCTTGTCGATATGCCCATAAAGAAATGTGAAATCGGTTGGATGTATCATACAAATAAAAAGCCATGCAACGATCACAAACCGGAACCCCCTATATCTTCAATTCCCGGAATTGGTCTACATCCTGATGACCTAAGTTGTGAGACGTCTTTAAAGGCTCGAACTAACTTGCGCTCGACAGATACACCCTTTATTCGTCTTCAAAAACTTGGTGGAAGAAGAAATCTTCTCTGTTTTCGGGAGAATGAAGTACAACCACTCTCAGAGAAGATTTATTCGGAGAGAAACATTGAATGTGAACAAAAGGAAGCAAATTTAAGAAAATCGGATTATATATTCAAAGTTCCCCTATATATGCAGCATCCAATATCTTGCATACAAGTTCAACAGCAAGTTCAATCTCAGAAAATAATTGAAAATCCTTGCCTAAACTCATCTAAAGTTGAACGTAAAAAATGTCCAAAATCTAAAGTATGGAATCCGTCAATTAGTCGACCGGGATACTCCGAATACAATCGCAACTTACCTCCATATTCCTTTGTCCGTAAAGAATTTATTTATCCTGAAGCAATTAAGTATTACAAGGTAATTTTTAAGTCTAATAAAAATAGTTAAACTGTCGATAGATTTGTCAGTTTGACCCAAATATGACATTTCTGACCCTTTTCAAGCACATTTAATTACCTTTCGAGTGGACGTGGCTCTGATTTTCATTTACTTCACAAATTAACAGCTTTCAAAATGCTGGCTCCTTACGTTAAATCCATTTACTATAGCAATAAGATTGTTTAATACTTGCTCCGTCCCTCCTCTGCTCCATAGTCTGTTTGCTTCCGTGCACGAGCAGCAAGGCAATTCTTAGCCAATCATTATTCTCTGACGTGCCTACCTTGCCTTAGTAGCTCGTCCTACATACCAGTTACAAAAGCGTTTTATTCTGCCATGGGGCTGATGACTAGAAATGTTTCAATTCTTCCTTACGGTTATTTCATTTTTCTCTTCCTCATCCTTATCACTGCGTCTGATAATACGCAATATCCGACTCCTGTTGAGTATAATGTCTATGACTCTCTAAAATCTGTGAATCATGGTGTCAGAAATTTTACCTTTAGGAGCCAGCGGGACGTAATCTTGAATACAATATTCAAAAACTATAAGGCCCATGAGAGACCTACTGAATTTCTTGATGAATCTACAGTAGTGAAGGTTAACATGAAGATTCTTGCCATCTTTTCGGTGGATGTGAGAAATATGGATTATTATGTGGATGCATTGCTTCGTCAGACATGGATGGATCCACGTTTGAAGTGGGAGCATCTGCCTGAACATTCTTCCTACTCAACTCCTATTGTCTCTCCAAATCTGAAAGAACAGGTTTGGCTCCCAGATCTCTTCTTTCGAAATGGCAAAGACGGATACTTGCATAAGATGACACTACCTAACTACCTTCTGCGTGTTTATCCGAACGGGAAAGTTCTTTATAGTCAGAAAATAACGATGCGTTTTGATTGTCAAATGGAATTGCACAATTTTCCAATGGATGAACAAGTTTGTGATATCAATATTGGTTCCTATGGTTATACTCTTGATGAACTGCGTTTTGACTGGACGGACAAAAATGCCCTTGAGCTTCAAAAGGATCTTCAAATCTCAGAGTTTAATTCACCTCCTAATCATACCATAATTGACTGTACTGAAGAGGCGTCTACTTCCACAGGTAATTATACCTGTCTTCTTGTACAATTTCACCTATCTCGACAACTGAGTAGCTACTTGGTAACAACCTACATTCCAAATGCCCTCATTATCATGGTATCTTGGGTGAGTTTTTGGGTTCCTGCAGATGCTGCACCTGCAAGAGTTCCGCTGGGTCTACTCTGTCTCCAGGGTCTTTGCACACAGGCCGTATCGATTAGTTCGAGCCTTCCTCGGGTCTCTTACACAAAAGCCATCGACGTGTGGCTTATTTGTTCAATTATTTTTGTAGTGAGTGTAATGGCGGAATATGCTTTGGCTCTCACTGTTATTAATCGTGAACGTTTGTCCGTTTGGCGTTTAACTGTTCGACGAATCGTACGTGAGGAGCTGGCGCACTGGTGGAAAGCGGTGTACACTATAGAGTTCTCTAAAAGGTCAAATCGTGGAGCCCTTGTCACCAAGCAGCAATCCGATGTCTTCAACCATGTGGTCACCATTCTCTCAGACAAGAATGACCTTGTTCTCCCTAAAACGAATTTTCGAATGCTCGGAGAAGCAGAATCATTTGTGGATGGTTACAGTCGCGTTTTATTTCCAATCGCCTATCTAATTTACAACGGTTGCTATTGGCTCTATTATCTAGTTATCGTACGGCTTACTAAATGAATTTAAACGTAATTAACATTTTCCTATCATTTAAGATAAACGTCCTCTTCCATTCAATGTATTTATTCTGTCTTGTCTTCATAATAATTTTGTGATCCCATTGCTTTTCGTAACGTTATAAATATAGCTATTATATGCTAATTTGGCTTATTCAAATTATAATTTTTAAATTGTCAACTATTACATTAGGCGACTTCTCCAGTATTTTTCATTTACTTATTCAAGATTGTGTTAAGCATCTGAGTTATAAAATTTATGGGTTTGTTTATAGTGTCAACCAAAACATTTAACAGTTTTTTAAGCTTTTATATAATGGCTATATAAAATACATTTTTGGTTTTTAATTGTCCTTGTCAAGGCAAAAATATTATCGTTTTGTCATCTTGAGAAATGGCCCATAGAGGTTTCAGATTCATTATGCAGACATCTGTGTAGTTGAGTACTTAAAAGGATTTATGTGCATAGGTCTATAACTTGTTTCTTATTCATCAGTAGCTATTTCTAGCTTCATTTATTATCGATATCTGGGATGGATTTGGTTCATCAGGTTGCATCGTTTTGTGATTTAGAATACAGTAATTACTGTTAAATACTTTTTCGAATTATTTAATAATTCAATCCCTGTATTCTGTCTTTTAGATAGACCTTCCAGATCAACCTGAGAGTTTAAGGGACCTCCTCACTCATAAGTACGCTGAGAAAGACTACAGACAGCAGAGGAAATTATGGAGCGAATATATGAATAAGTTGAATGAAATTGATCACTGCCAAACGACATCGTCTGTAACGACTGTGACAAGTCGATTCACGGCTCCTAAAGCAGGGAAAAAGAACCCACCTAAGCGTGAAGATAACATTTTATTTTAAAATATGAAATTGCCAAATTGTAACATACTTTTATTTGAAATTACAAGGTTTCCTCTAAAAGTAGTTTTGAATTATCGGAAGAGGTGGTGGAAGGTTAAACGGTTATAAACAAAAGGGTAAATAAGTGAGGAAAACTAGCATTTTCATCGTGTTCACTATAAATGAATAAAGAATAAAATTATTGTTATCCTTCCCAAAAATTCCCCCAATCTGTTCAGAAATTATTGATGAGACTGCTTGAGCCAGTTGAATAAATTTCAGAACCAATTAAAATTAACAAAGACGAATAAAAATGTGACATAATTGTGCACGAAAAATTAGTAATTGTAACGCTGATTAGGAAGCCTTAGAAGTTTTAATTCGCTCTATCAAATTTGGCCTTCTTACAACACTATGAAATGCGAATGGTTTATTCGCAATCGTACTTTTTGGATAACTATTATAAAGCTACTGAATAACCCATTAACAATGGTTCTCCCTTTTAAAGAAGAGAGGTGGCAAAACGGAGGCAGGAATGCGTGTACATGACGTTTCATCAAGGAGGGAATTGAGGTTGTGTAAGCTTGAATTCATGGTCATGAATCACCAGATATCTGACTCATCAGGTTCAGCTCAAAATTGATGAAACAACTTTACGGGAATTGTCTAATCACTTATTAAGAAGGTTTCACTCGTGAGAAGCAGAATGGTCTAGAGATCGAATTGGAATTAGTAAATTGTGGCTTAGTACCTTAATAAGGGAAGCGTATATTCATCTTGCCTAAAAGCAGGAACACAGCCTTCAAGATAAATAGAAATTTCAAATCGGATATGTGGGTGCCTTCCATTCTTAAGATTAGACACCAGTTAATGCTATCTAGAACCAAAAAATCAACTGCACCTTAAAACAAGTTATGATTGACAATTCTCATTTCCCCCAAAGTCCTTCGTACTTTCAAGTTCCAACTAAGTACATGCAGATGCTGTTACTAAAACCCGAGGTCTCCTGCAGCTTAAATATGGCACCTCCGAATACATGAGCACTTACTGTCAGTGATACGGTAGCCCTACTTCGGATCACGATAGGTCGTTAGCCACTGTAATTCACAACAATTAAGAAAAATCACGTAATTCGCCAATATTTTAACGTTAATGATCTGATAAGGCCCAATTCAAGCTATATAAGTGCGCACGAAAAGGAATTCTGAACGTATTAATGACAATCAATAGACGAATTTCATTTGGCAACCAGAAATACGACAAATAAATCCGGCGGCACAAACATTACCAAATAGAATAGATACCCTACCCACGCACCCCCAAATTGACCGAGAAGCTGCACGCAAAATTTGACAGTGTCTATTGAGAAGGCGTATTGATTTTCATCCCATTTCTCTCTAGCGACACAGGTAACAAATTCACACACATGCACATCAAGATAGAGACCGGCCTTGCCCCGGCCAATAAGACGCCCGTAATAGCAGGACACAATGAAATGCATGGCCACGCAGAGCATTACACCCTGAAAGTTCTAAGTCAATTTACACATTTTGACTGACATTAATCGACTGAAATGGCAAATCGCACAATTTAGCTAGTGATACAACTATCACAACCAATACTAGAAATATTAAATGATTGGCGCCCCNCCCCCCCCCCCCCCCCCCCTCCGTAGCACATACCAAGGATTAGCAAAAACAAATGTTAAAATTAACAATAGCAGAGTCCAAAGAATGGCCTTACCGTACTGATACAAGTGCATCTTGAAACAAACCTAGTGCTAATATGGCTTAAAAGGAGAGCAACAGTCATATTAACGTGCACACAACAAACCGAAGATTTCACTATTGGCATGTGTCCCAAGCAGGGCTGTGATACTAATTCAAAGTAAATCACTGCCCTTGGAACACTAACCAACAGATTAAAAGTCTTGATGATATACGGCTTGGCACGTTCATCAATATTGGCTGTGACATAGGAAACAATGTATACAGACAATGTTGACGACGAACAACGCCTGCACTCCAGACGGTCAATGCAGCATCTTATGAAAAGACGGTGTAGCAAGACGCAAACCTCTGTATCTCACTACCATCGTCTTTCACCAGATAACTGTTAACAGGAAATCGAGACTTACAAGATAAAGCTAAAGAAAAAGAGCACACAAGAAACCAACAACACGCAAAGTGACTGAGAAAAACATCGCAATAATGATCAACACTGACCATAATGGTATATTCAAACAAAATATAAGGTTTAATCAATAAATTGCCTTAAACTAAAATTTCATATTGATAATAATTTATTTATAAAAAAATAAAAATTCAACTATTCTTTGTATTGAATTTTTAATGGAGAACTAAGTCATAGCTTAAAAGTGGGATAGAATTATTATTATTATTATTATTTCAAATGGCAGACGCTTTCAATAGTTATCATAAGCCATTTAGCTGACTTTTACCACACAGAGCGAGCAGCATCAAAGTGAAAAAAATTCCGAAGAGGGCACAGAAGTGTGATTTACAGATGTAGACGAGACAGACAGACACAAAGGTAGAGAAAAGGTGCGATGAGTACTGTGAAATTTTTACAATATGACATACAGTGGGGTCATAGTAGTTTGAAGTCTGAAATCAACTGCAGGTTTATAGACTCATTTGCCGTATGAGTGTACGTTAACCAGGGTTCACCAGGTATAGGTATGTCTATCGCACACCCGTGATTAAATAATAGTTTTCCAAAAACACATTGAGAGCTATTTTGTTATTCATGACTATTTAAGTAGTAATGGTAGTTGCTATATTTCTTGAAAATAGTCCGTCCAAGTATCTGATCTCATGACTTTTCTTATCATTGTTTTACTCCGAAAACAATAAGATCGAAGTTAATTCAGAACTCATATGTAGTTAATTACCCACAGTTTTATGAAGAATTTTCGATTTTAAATTATGGATGGAAGAAAGCGTTTACTGTTCTCAAATCGATAATGCAACTATTAAAAACGAAAATTGCTAGTTCTCATTTTTATAGCAATTTATGCTGTGTACAGTGCAGAATAATTCATATTAATTTATATATGTATAAATAGAATATTAATTTTATCAAGCAAAAATATTTAATAATACACCGACATCTCAATTTCAAAAACAACAACTTTTCGAAGAAATCTTCCTTTGCCTTTGTTGGAAAATCTTCAAACTGTTCCACATTTCTTTTTTGCTTTCGAGGTTTGTTGTAGGTGCAGTGTGCTGTTTCTTACCTTTAGTATTTGCATTGACGATTTTCTAGCAAGTCTTGGATAAACATTCATTTAGGCGTTCTCGAATACACCATTTTAAAGTGGTGCCTCCTTTTCAAGTAGGTCTAACCATTTTCTCCCCCCTTCTTTCAGCTCATCCATGTAATAGATTCGTGCAGTCGTTCTGAGAGTTTTCGCTCCGCTTTATATCATTCTTCATTGAGGTTACTATTAGTTCTTTCGCCTGAATGACAACGTGCTCAATCTTCTGATTGGGTCTAATCTTTATGAATTCATTATTTATTTTCGTCCAAGTATGGCCTACAACTTGAAACGGCGAGCTGGATACTGAAAAAATCGACTAGTGTTTACCTTAAGCTCAACTAGAAGGGAAAAATATTTAATGCCATAATTTTGCTACAACTTTGATTTTCATAATCTTGATCAACAGAATTCTGTTGATTCCTTTACACCGTTTTCCTATTGTATTCTGGGGAGTCTACTTAAGACCCCTGTTTGGCGAAGCACTCAAAAATAGAAGACGATTGATAACAACACTCGTAATAGTAGCAAAATGGTATAGTTAAGAATTTGTATCGATGCTGCTTATCAGGGCCATTGAGACTGCAAAATCCAAGTTGAAATCAAATCTATATGTATAGTCGAACTTCAAACTATTATGACCCAACTATAGGTAATATTCGACCACTTCCACAGCACTCAGCTTTATGCATATCTGTCTCTTACATTTTTAAATCACTCTTCCGTTTCACTTCTCGACTTTCTGTGATTTTGCTGCCCCTCTCTGAGATGCCCTAAGGATAACTATCACAAAGACTGTTACTTGGTTGAAATAAGCAAATAAATAACTATCCCAATATGTCCAATAATGAGGCTAATGGAAGTCATAATTAATTTTTTAAATTTTACGGAGAACACTCTTTATAAATAGAGAATAATTTATTCGATTTCTATGAACTATAGCAAAATTGTCATTTTTTGCGTTTCAATGTGTTAAATACTTTTATTTGCTTTTGAAATATTCCAATTACTTTCTTTAATAAAGATATTATGCTAAAATTATTAATATAACAAAATATTATCTGGAAATGAAATAACATTTCCCACTTATGAAAGATGTAATTTGAGACTAATTTATAGAATTCTAAATTTGAGGACAAAGTACGAATTTTCAAAGCTTGCATTATGCATGAATAAATATATTTCTTTCGCATAATTCATCATATAATAATTTATGATAACGTCCGACTGACTGATCAACATTTTAGCTATATAAATACAATATTTAGACTTTTAAATGACTGAAAGACTTTCTAATTTTAGTGGTTAATAAAATCTACTTGTAACAACTTTAAATACTCAGATTGAATCATTATTGTAAAGGGCTTTAAGTGCGCGTCGCTTGAAGGTTTCTTGGAGTTTCGGCGTTTTCCTATATTTTAAATAACCATGGAAGTATTCGATGAGATTAATAAGATTGAACGTATGATTGAAGCTATGCAGGAATCAGACACCGGAATTAATTTCAAGTATGTAAACATTAGATTAGCTTAAATTTTTAGGACCCAGAAGGTATTTCTTACTACTGTCCCTGCAGCTGTAACTGGGGATGATTTGATTTCTTGGATAGAAAATTACTTTGGTATTGATCACCCCCAAGAGGCCTCTCATATTGCTCTTCTTTTATTATTATATGGATATGTTTATCCCCTAACGGATTATAAGTCAAATATTGTTAAAGATGATCCTACCTCATTTTACCGATTTCAAGTAGTTTTGATATATTTTGTCAATTTCTTGTTCAGGCGCCTTATTATTGGATATCTAAGATTTCGAAGCCGGATTCAATTGATTATGCTATTTACCTTGTGAAGCGTATTCTATTCAAACGTCAGAAACATAGTCTTGAGGAGCATGAACAAACAGCTCTAAATCGTCTGCAAAATGCTCTTTCGCATAAATGGGATTTTATTTGCATGCAAGCAGCAGATCAAATGAGATTGTTTAAGGATAAACGGAAGAGCGATCAAATAGTTATCGAAGCACAAGAACGTGCTTTTTGGCGAGTCCACCGTCCACCTCCGAGCAGGATTTGCTGTTTTGAAGAACGCCTTCCACGAAATAGCTTTTTAACTAGGAAGCCACTTTCTTGGAGAAGAGCACACAGTAGCTATTTACTTCATGGAGGCAATTTTCCTTAATGCTAATAGCCTAGTTCAAATGGATCTGTTTTACTCTATTGTTTTTATATAACTTTTAGGCCATAACTGTTCAAATGCGCCTCTATCTACGCATACTCTGCCACCAAATCTAAGAAAGCCAACACCTCAAACACTTCCTCACTCCCATCTCCGATTAAGCAACAAAAAATCAGTTGAGAGTTTGTTGCTTTTCACAACTAATCGCAGCTCCTACGATTGGTTTGTGAATAATTGTAGTGCTGGTCTAGGAGTTGCCACATCTTCGTTCACTAGTTCACCTTGGCTGAATCATCCGAGCAATTTTGAAGTATCGCCCTGTGCGGCTCTTGTTTGTCTACCTACGTGTGATTCTCTTCTCCTTTCCACTCCAATTGGCTCATGCTTGAGTACATGTGCGATTACTGAACCCCACACCGATATTCTCGATAATCCATCCATTCCCTTTCCTACTATCAATCAGGTAAATAAAATGTATTTAATCCAAAATGCTCGGAAGAAAGGGATCAGTTGTATCCGTTTTGAAATACCAGATATATGATGAGATTCATGGTGTAATATTTAAAGGCATTTAGATCTCTTTTTAAGTGCAGTTTCAATGACGAATTGCTTCATTGGAGATATTTTTAGTTATGCATTAGTGATTTTTCAGTAATATAAACGAAAAATACATTCTTTTCACAAATAATATTTGACTCCAGAATTGATAAAGTTGTTTAATTGAGATTGACAAAATTAAGTAACTCTACCTTGTTTGAACATTTCTTCCATCTTTACATCGGTGTCAACTACTACCTGCACCTTTAACTATCTAAGATAGAGAGAGTGAAATTATTTTTTAATGCCGATCAATTCTTTGTTTTTATTTTGGTTTGATTTTTTACCGAGAAATCGATGACGAAGCAGAAATCTAAACTTAAAGGGAGGGTGCATTAGATAAGAGCTTCAGTTTTACCTGTAAGCATTCTCATATGATAATATCTATGCACTTATTTTCTCATTCAGCTTCTATTTTCTTACATACTTTTTTTTCAGTCGGATCGGCTAATGAATTTGATATCTACCGCTGACTAATTCATCTGAAATGCCCTGCCTAAAATGGGTACCCTTCTATCTTTTTAACTAAATAATTCCAGGTATTCAATGTTGCATATTTCTGAAGATGTTGACATTCTAAAAGTGGTTATATTTCTTTTCCCCCTTTATTTCAAACAGTTTAAAGCTGTGCACAAGCCAGTTATATTTAACATATTTAAATTGCATGGCTATACTTTTGTTCAAGAAAGTTCTTTGGGTTCTACTAATTAAATTATTACAACATCTCGATATTTTTGGAACAAATTAGCTGAAGTGTCGATAAGCACTTTCAATCATAAACAGAGAATTGGTCCAATGAAATTTAAATTTCGAGATATGTACGTTTTCTTAAGCAAATATAATTCAATCTGAATCCAAAAATCAATTTGTGTAGGATTCTGTGATGCCTTAACATTTTATTCCCTCTCTCTTTCCAGTTAGTCTATTCCGGTTACTCCTCACAATTTAGGCTCGTATCATATCTTACTTTGAGTAATAATAAGAATAAATTAAACAATAATTATGGGAAAAGCGAAATTTTAATTTTTTTAAAATCTAACCTTCAAACGTTCTAGGTTTAATGATACTGAATTTGTACTATTTCCCATTCCCCTTAATCACTTATTAATTAGTTAACCTTACATTGAACTAAGCTAACTGGAGAAGGAGTGAAGCTAACCAATGAGAGGAGGAAACGAGTAAATTGAGAATGAATGAGACCTCGTATGCCTAGCCATGTGAGAGGAAATTATATTTCAAATTAACTCATCGTTTCACCGCTCACTATATGTTAATCAATTGAGAACTTGTTACACGTCAGTGTTTTGCAAACTGGGAAAATGCTTAATGTCAGCGGTTTGTAACTCAAATGCGTAAATAATGCCTTCCGCCATTACTTCTAAAACATCATAGAATTTCAGTTACGCAAAGGCCCCAATTAACTAACGAATACACATTTTCAGAGGAGTTGAGCTACCTGGGATGTCCAATTGTGAATCATAAATTAGGGAATGACTAGATTTCCCATTGAGGAGACCCTAAATAATTAGTCTCAATAAATGCTAATTTAAGAGACTGGGATTGTGTTTTGGAAAGACGTTTACGCCAGATGCATCAGCAAATAGTTGACCTGATTTGAAGTAAGTAATTGAGTTAATAATTAATGCAGGATGAAATATAGGGCTCAGGAATTTGCTATCGACTTGATGATCGGTATCTACTTGGACATTTAAGTAAACCTTCTGTTTTTCGATAACCTCACTTCTTCCAAAATACTTTCGCTCTACTTCAATAAATTTGTCGAAGAATTGGATCTCACAATCTTCGATGCGTTTATTTATGAATGTTAGTTATTTTGATTTGAGTTTTAGGCGAAGTTTAAGTGTGTCTAATTTTATTTAATTAACATAGGAAAATACCTTAGATCGTTGATTTTGACGATTAGGCGCTCTTCTCAATCATTGGAAGTAATGAAAACATTCTTTTTTTCTCAGGAATAATCTTTTCAGAAGCCAATAAATTGCATTGGAAAACATGAACGCTTCAAAATATTCACATGTTTATAATGTTTACTTCAAATATAATTGTTGAGTTTGAAACAGGTTATTATGGAAAAATAATGCCACTGTAGTGTTATGTCTCCAAAGATGACTCCCTATTTCTATATTCGTAATTGGATATTAAAAGCTTTTTTTGCCTCTTTCTATCTCTTGAGTTTTTTTTTTAATTATTGCATAGCACCCAAGTAGGTTATAAAATAAGAACTACCTTCAATCGCTCGTTAACGCGGTTTACATCTTTCACTTTAGGTACGTATTTGGGCGACTAGTTTTGACAATCTTCTTTGGGATCCTAACGGTTGTCAGTCCTTTAAAGCCTTTCTTGAAAAGGAGTTCAGTTCAGAGAACTTGCGGTTTTGGCTGAGCGTCAACGCATATCAATTTTCACCAATACACAATCTCAAAGACTCGGGCCAACGCATCTATGAAGAGTTTCTTGCTCCGAATGCACCCTCAGAAATCAATATCGATTGCGCTACCAGGGCAAATACTGTCGAAGCTCTAAAGGTATGATCATTCAGCATTCTTATTCATTTAATTCAGTCTTCCCAAAATGATATATACTTTTAGCGCATTTCATCTGTAAAAAAGTAACGAGGATCAGGTCATTTTGTTCTTTTCAATTCTAATTGAGCAATTATCGCCACCTGTAACCAATAAGCTTGGGCTCAGGTTATTAGAACGAGTTTCTGTTAAATGTTCCCAGCTGGTATCGCCAGTTGTATTGTACAAGATTTTTGGATAAAATGCAATGGCTGTAATTCAAACGAAAACCTTGAGTTACAACAGTTATTTTGATTTTCTTTCTTTAGAACCCAACTCGATTTGTGTTTGCGGAGGCAAAACAGCAAATTTATAAGTTGATGAAGTCAGACTCCTACGTGCGTTTTCTAAGATCTGACGACTATTCGGCCGTGTTGCGTCTAGTTTTGACTAGTCAGCATGTTTATCAACAGCATTCAAATCGCCGATCTTTCATTCGGTCGACTCTTCTCCCAACTGGAGCCGTCTCGCCTTCGATCTCCAGCGCTCAATATGGATCCAGTCACAACTTAAAAGCGTCTGCAATCGTTCAGAAACCTCGCGTCTCGCCATAGCAATCAGTTATCCTTTCTTACATCAAATTCGCTTTTCCGATTAAAATTTCGATAGCACTTTAGCTTGTAAATATGCTATAATTTACTCATCATTTAATGCAACTGACTTTTAATAAAGTAAGTTGCTATGAAGGAAGAATATCAGGGAAAATAGGGAGGATTACTTTTTCATTGACCAAGATCTGACTGGACAAGGGGAGGGGGGATATCAGAAACTCTCTTGAAATCTTTATTTCTATAATCTTATATACGTTTGATCAAATGGGATCTATTTCCGATAAGATTCATTTTGGAAATTTGAAGAGGAAGTATCTGTACTATAGACCCGTCTTCTCTTTAGTGTTCTTCTAGCCAAAACTTCTGTCTTTTACCTTTTTCATTAGATTTCAGGAATTAAATAATATTTTGTGTCAGGCTCAGTGTAGGATCCCATATTTCACACTTAAAAGGAGTTTAAATTTTATGCCCGACAGTCCGTCATATCAGGGGGTTATCGTTAATTTAACCTAGCCAAAGTTGAATTTTTATTAATTTTGATACAATGTTTGGATTAGTCGTTGAAGACAGGCTATATTAGGGCTGAATAGCTCAAATTTAAAATATAAGTAAATGTTTTTAAACTATATAAGGGCCAATTGATTTCGTCCTATTCTGTCGTAGTTATCCAAATATGTAGACAATATGCCAAAGATTCAACGTCCAAGTTGATATCAAGTTGGTATTAATTTCAACTTTACTAATATCTGTCGAATGGATATTAATTCTTGATGCAGCCCCGCACGCTATTGAGTCTATTTGCGTTAAATAGATTTCTCTATTTTTTACAGAACCTCTGCCCTACGCATTAAAAGTAAGTGTGAATGGAATCGTACATTTACGGTTATTCATTGTTATTATTATGATAAATTACGACTCATTAGGTAGACAAGCTAGGCACACGCCGATATTCTAACCGGAAGAAAGAGGAAAGCAAACTCTCTTTGTCATGGCACGAACGTAATTTCGTTCAACTCGAGTTACTTCATAATTGCTAAACACTTTTTGGACAAAGTGTAATTACGAATCACATTAGTCTAATGGAAACACAAATTTCGGTAGGTATAATAAGTAGTGCTGTGCATCATTTGGTCTAGCCAATTATTGAATGCATTTCGAAAGACACGTTTTCTGATTCTTGGAGAAAGATAGAGTTTTTCACGAGTCATGGGTAAAATTTTGCACGTTGAGAGGTAATTTGAAAAATATGTTTGGTATTCTCAACCTTCTTATGGAAAATTCACATACACATATTAATTCGCTCGGTTCTTCTCGTTGATTTGATCAGTATAATTCTGCGTTGAAAAATGGAAGGAAAACGATTGCATTGAAGTTTATTTATTCAGAAGCACAAAAATTTCGGGATAGGTACTAGATGAGAAACGAGTTACCAAGGAATGGGGTGAGAGGGTGGTCGAAGCTGAATCAAGTGAACTGAGTTGCTAGCACAATCGAATGTTTCGTATAATTCAGAGAATGAAAGCACGAAATGAATTTTAATTATATAATGAAATAGATGCACGAATGTTTAACGGAGTGCTTTCATTGACTTATTTTATTTATTTTACTATTTATTTATCTTATAATTTTATTTTATTATCAAATCAACTGGTGGATAGGGCGATTGGGTTTAAAAGCTAATTGCCTTCGATGCCCTATAAATATAATTATGCCTGTTTACATAATACACAAAAGCAAATTAAAACAGTCGCATAATAGTGATAGTTAAAATTCAAGAAATGTAAATATTTAGCTTACTTACACAACACTGTTTAAATGGATTAAAGAAAATATATCGAAAAGATAAAAGACAATTGAGAAAAGATTTACAAATAATTAAATAATCATATTTAACTCAATATAGACATTTTCGTCAAAAAATAATGTTTTGAATAAATGAACATTAGTATGGAAAGGATGGTGGTACAGTTTATATGGAATGTTAATCTATGATAATTACCACCAAAGGATAAATGTATAATATATGCATCATAATTTATTCAATAAAATACAATCTTTGATATACAAATAACTCTAACCTTGATAAAAACAAAATATTTATTTAAAGATTTATATTGACTCTATGCTTATTGATAGTTATAGCTAGGAAATAATTTAAGATTATCGCTTAAAGTTAGCGCATATAAACCTGAAATAACCATTATTACTATACAGCATGAGGACAATAGTCACTGACTGGACGGAGTTTAGCATAATCTAATGAAATCCTTAAGGTCAATCTGTATCAACGAATGTTCGTTTGAGAGGTAAGTTACTTACACTGGTGGTTGACGAAATATTTATTCATGAAGTTGTTTGGAGTTAAATAGTATACTAGTTGGTAGTTATATTTTCACTGATACTCTACCCCAAATAGGGTGCTTCATATGATTCGACTAAACGTACGCTTGTTAAATCACTTAAAGACAGAACCCTGTCATAAATTCGAAAATACGCTATCAGTTTGGGCTACAATCATGCTTATTTTGAAACTGATGTTAATACTAATGGGGCCGATCAATTACATGTCGAATCTATTCCCTTAATAACTCTGTTCGAGCCACGGGCCTTGTCCCATCTACTTCTTGAAGTATGAATAGTTGCAATCCGACATTGATAAGTGGTATGAAATTTGATTTAACTAGTTCACAGTGTGGGAAATTTCGCTTTCAGTTATGGCCACACATTTTATTGCACTGTCGGTGAGGTTACAAATTTAAGGTCATCAATGTCAAGCTATAATCGATAGATCAAAGGAATGAAGACTGTGAAATTTGATATAATGAACCAAAACCAATAATACGGTTTTAAAACAGTAGAAATGCCTATATTAGATAGAAATTTCACTTTTGGTCAGATAAGCCTATACACAGGTCTCTAGCCCAATCCATATTGAGACGAAATTGAAGCAATTTCTAAATAATAAAATTGTAAAAAAATTTTAAAATGACCCACAAAACCTAATTAGTCATAAATAAATAGAGGTCAAGAAAATATTAAACACGTTAAATGTGCTTCAAGAAATAGAAAGAATGAAGTGGTAAAATTCCATGCTTTGATATTCGTCAACATATGTCGTTGACACAATAAATGTAATAGAATTTCTATTAAAAGTTTGACTGATAAAAACGGCAATCATAGTGCAGAAGTAGTATTCTATTCCAATAAACATCACGATAAATTAATCGAAGGAAATAATGAGAAAGAAGCGGCAGTGTTATTGAGGAGCAGATTCAACATCATCCATTGTATCTGCGACAACACAATCCTCATGGTCTGCAGGGCTAACCTCATCTTCAACAGTAAAGACTAGGTCTTCTGGTTTTGGAGGTCGAGGAGGGAAAATCCCATCCCAATGTTGTTCCAGAGATAAAATATCTCGCGGCTCAATTTGATTAGAAGCTTCGTGTTGCTTCTTTTTGCATCCATGAATAAGGTTGAATAATTCATTGAATATTGTCTTCGCCTGTGAATGAGAAAAAACATATGTTGGGCTTTATTAAAATTAAAATCTTTTTCATAAGTTGGTAAAGATGAAGGATGTCCGACAAGTTACTACTTAGACTAATTAAATGGGAGTAATCATGAGTTATGATAGAAAACTGAAGGATGACAAACAATAAGGCGTTAAGTACCAAAAATAAATGCGAAAATAAATTCATCTTAAAATGATGATTACTTATAGGCCAACTATTTCATTAATTATGAAATAAAATTCGCGTGAGAAGAAATTGAGTTAGTAAATTGACTTGCAACCTCTATCGGGAATGGAGGCCTTTGATAGCGCCACCCACCCCCTCCACCAATCCCTATCCTCAAATAATTTTAATGGGATTAAATGTGGCATGCTATCGAACTCGAGACTGTACGTTGAGGGTTAAATCATGGGAATTGAGTTAACTACATACAGAAATACAGCATTTAAATAAACCTGAAAATTATACCGTATTTAAGCACGAAGCAAATTTCAATAGGTATAATATTAAGGAAAAAAGATTGTAAAAGAACAATTTAAAAATATCAAACTAGCCTATTGATCGGACTTTAACAACTATAATACAGCAGGTCGGAGTCTACAATAATTTTAATTATCCTTTGTTGGAAACTAGAGACTAAACATGTTTATAAATTGACATTGGGTACGCAAAACAAATAGTGAAATCGAATTGGACCAACTGTTCTAAAAATAAGACGAACCTCAACAGATTCAAATCTTACAAATGACAGGTGGTTAAAGTATCATCCACCCACCATCATCCACAAACCTAACATTGATAAATTTTCGAAGCATATTCGATGGAATAAATATTCAATTTTTAAGGAAGCAGATTAATAACCGACAATTTATACAGACGTTTAGTATGAAATGGCAAAACTTCCTCATTCACTCATTAGTCTCGCATAAGGCAAGATAGCCCTATAAATAAGAGAATAGGTTATAAAATCTGAAGAAAAAATGTGGTAAATTATCGTTTACCAATCCTTTGAGATTGGAAAATGCAAGGTTTTCAATAATGCATCGTACACTTAGATGTAGATGGCATGCACTGCAATATTTGCCAACATTTGATTATAATCCTTGATTAACACCCAAATTTTTGTGGGAGAAAAAACAATTAGGAGATCTAATAGAATGTTCCCAACCAGATAAAGGCACTTAGATCATATAATTTTGATTAGCTAAATCGAGATTTTCAATAATAAGCGAGATTAAATCAGTATCAGATGCAACATACACTGTGAACACATTTATCAATGAATATTGAAGAGTCGGGTCCAGGAGCCACGATGAACCCCTCATCTTCAAGATTAAAAGCTCTGGCAAGTCCGTGACTAGGCACATCAGAGAGATCAGGAATTGTAAAGAAGCATTTCCACAATATTTGAGGCTTAAGAAACTCTGCATCGCCTACTCCAAGACAATCAAGATTAGAAAATACTTGCAATATGAGGATAGCATCAAATTAGCACTGTACCAGTAGGATAGAGCTGATCAATTAAATTTGTGAAGAGTTCTGACGCGTCAACGCAAGTATCACACACAGCTGTTAAATGCACAAGATCTGGAAGGAAATGTATTAATTTAAGTGAATATGAAGACACTTACACAGACAAGTATTTTCATTTCGATTGTCAGCTGGGGTTTCAAGAAGGAACGCGGGTTCATTGAAATTCCTACACTGCGCACTCAGTTGCAACGGCATTAGAGTGATCTGACGCGAAACAAAACAATTATAAGAAAATGACAAACCATACATCATTAGAATTATGACCGTTCGGATAAATGGATCCCGTAGTAACGAGAATAGCTCGTGCAATCCACCGACTGATCTGGCTGAACACCCACTCAGTAGGTGCTTGTTCAGCACCAATTAGGATACATGAAGTAGAGACTTCTTCCCCAGTGGAAAGGCGAACACGATATCGTCTCCGGCCGTTGGTCGTGTTGGGATAAACTGCAGTGAGTGTTCTGCCGAGGCAGTAGATACCCGAGAATACGGCACACATTCTACAGAAAGATTGTGGCAGTTCACCACAACCAAAGCGGGGCCAGAGAAGGGGGAAAGGACTGACTCGATTCATGGAAGAAACGAGACGTCTAAAACGAGGCAGCGCCTAAAGCAAGGCAATATTGACACTGTCAAAAGATGACCAAAGTATTTAAAAGGAACCCTCAACAAATCTCCTACACAACATATAAAATACCTGTAACATAGAATCCACAATATAATTCAGAAATGCTCTTAAAATCAAAGTAAATAGGCAGCAACTATGGGTAATGCAAACCTATTGCGTTATCACTGCTAAATCATGGAACACAAAACAATACCCTATATTAGATGAGAGCAATAACGCCTATTTTTATTAACTAAAAGTAAATATGACAGGAAATCGAAACCATTCCTTATCATACCATCGCGATGTCATTCCAACATAAAAGGTCACAGAACGGAGAGATCAAGTATTGCACATTGTCTGGTTTATGTCTGACCAAACATAATCAGAAGACAAATTACAATCAGACTGATTTAATCCAAAATGCGTAATTACAAAACACTTCCAATGGTATAAAAACCATCTAAATTACGACTCTGGCACGAATTCACTTTGAAGCAAGATAAACGAAAGCGAAAGGACTCCTCGCAATAATATTGTCTAGTTAGTAGAAAAACATGGCAAACATTCATAAAGGCATCTATTATACAAAGAGCAGGAATAAACAGCAATAAACGTTTAAGCAAAATATTCGGGATATTATGAGGACAGGGTAAAAAATGATGAATTAAATCAGGTGAGCAAACATACACTAACTTAAACTAGAAGAGAATACTCGGAGATGCTAATTATATCAATAAAAACCAGAAAAAACTCACATCTTTTAGAGTTATCGAGCCCTCAGAGAAGGCGAGGCAATTGGTCACAATTCGTGAAACGAAAACATCCAGACCGCGTTTTTCTTGAAGGTAATCCATTAGTGGTCTGTCTAAATAATCTACAATTTAAATCACGAAGGCATTTTTTAATGATTTGTGGAAGAGGCTTGTTATAAAGTTGCACAAGGTCCCAGAGGGGTAAGAAAAAGCTGCCATTGAAATCAATCAGCCTCTGTTGCCATTAAACACAGTAAATTTGAACTGATCAAAATTTTCGTACAGATTTCCAATAACGAAATGAACCAAAAAAGGTGATAGAAAAAAAATCAGCTAGTTCCAACAATTTCTTAATTTTAATGCTATTAAATGGAGCCAAAGAGAAATGTGTACGAATGCTTAATTGCGGCGATATTAATGGGATAAAAATGTACAGGAATAGCCGACAATTGATAAAAATTAAAATCCTAACTTAGATCTGGATTGTAAATTGAATTGAGTTACACCAATAACTAGAACTACCTGATTCCTCGATGTCGACATGAGAGGATGGATCTTGTTCATAAGTAACACACCATTCAAAAAAGCTCACCAACATTCTCTTCTGGGAAAGAGAGAGAATACGAGTCCGAAAGACATCGCCACGAGATACAGGCACCTGCAAAAAATATCGAATTAATATATACCCGATTTAAAACTAGAATACCTTGACAAGGAGAGAAGATAACAAAGAAGGGACTGCAGGATGTTGATGGGAATTAACTCGACTGGTTTTCGAATCGGTGCTTGCAAATACCCGATCGTCTATACCGTTGGGATTAAAGAATAGAAGCCGATTAATTGGGAGAAATTCCAAATAGCGGCAAACACTGGAACGTATGAGTGAATTTACAATTGGGCTCTCAGCGAAAATTGCCTAAAAAGGAAAAAAAGCTAGATTAAGAGAATACAGATAATGATCCAAAAATAATATTAATAATGAAACCTACTCGAGGAAGCAAATCAAAATCTGTACTTTTGAGGTCTCGGATAAGATCATTTTTTGTCCATTTACGAGCCGCCTGTTGAGGTGATAGGACTCCATTCCCTCGAAATATCTCATCCACCACTTCAACATTGCTATTACTTATTGATTAAGAAACAATTTTATATACGAAAAACAGAAAGTCGATGAAAAGTTTTTAAGTAATGATTTATTCAATACTGCGAGATTGAATCCCTGATCGGCTGTTAACTCATTGATTTGATCAGTAGGAAACTATACAAGATAAATAAAGAACAGTGTCTTACCCAGTATTCATCTAATTTTAACATGTCATTAAACCGTACAGTTGTCATAAAAGAGCCGTAAAAATTGTGTCTATCGATATGAAGTACGGTACTTCCTGTGACCGACAGGCTAGAACACACCATAGATTCCGTGAGACCTAAATCTATTAGGATTTATTCTACTGAAATTTTACCTGTTCCAACAACAACAACATCGAAATCTGTTGGAAGCGCTTCTTCACATGCGCACATAGTGAACCGACAAAATTCAGCTCGATCTACACGTTAAGTTCAGCGCACCCTATAGAGTGAAATTTGTAGATTTTTCTCGGTCAACAATTTTTACCAAAAATATTTATATGAAAGCATCATATTTCAATATATATAAATTTTTTTTATTATTCGATTTTCATATTTCTTCAAGTAACTTTTAGTTTCTAGGACCATTATTATGTCAATACTTTTTTGAGTCAAAAATTCTGCAACACGTGCCCATAAATATTTCATGTGAATTATCAGTCATCTATGAAAGTTCCTGATAATAATGCCTTACAAACATCTCCATCTCGTTAGCTGTGAACAAAAGATGCAAATTAATCATCACCTATTGGGAATTATTAAGCGCCTATAATAACTATACGCCAGAACCCTTGAGTATTAATAGAGAGCAATTCCATATTTATGACTAATTTATCCATAAGTAAATTGTTATGAATTTCAGCCCCCCCCCTCACCCAACCGCATACAGCTATGAATTAATTTATTCCATGCACGCGGACAGGGTTCTTTGTAGAATAGATAATATTATTTTTAAAGCATATCTCACTATATATTTCAATGGTTAGTAGTTTACATAATGAAAGCCAACAAGAGCTTACACTACAAAACCGATATTAAATATTTGCAACAGAAATCTTTAAAGTTTATCTTGGTTACCTTGATAAATGCTTTACTATCAATACGTGTGCCATTCATAATGATTTAAAAAATTTTTAAACGGCTTAAATTTTTATAATTACTGAATCAGGTGCGCTGGTGGTATTTTTATGCTTTACTGAAACACACTTATTGAAAAAGGTATGGTAAATTCATTTTTTATTTTCATTTTTTTGATATAATTTTATTTGTTCCTGGATATGGTGATTTGAATGAAAATTATCATTTTCTTTACATATTAGACTGAATAGAGTTTCAAACAAGTTTATATATATATATATATATATATATATATATATATACGTTTACCACAATACAATATCTGAGTCTTAATTTTATAATGCAATATTATCTAATGAATATGTAATCGTTTCGTGAGATCGAAATGAATAACAACCGTTAAATGTTTCGTTATCCGAAATTTCGTATCTTTATCGAGCGTTGATATTTACCCTTTTTACGATGTGGAATCAATGACTTTCGAAATGTAATAATCAAATGGGCTAAATAACTTTAAACAATTCGACCTTCAACCGCCCTAATAAGGACGTGGGCTTTTTGTATTTTGTGGGTAGGTTTTCTTTCTCGTTTTTGCTTTTTGTTCGCGAATGGAATAATTTGCATTCATTAAAATCAATGCTTGTCCTATTTCGGTAAGTTTTGATTTATAGGATTTTCGTTGCGTTACATATTGTAAGATTTCTACATTTATTTATATTTTAAGATCTTCAACAATAATCAAACTAAGTTAATATTATTTCATTGACTCCCGTAAGCTTCTTTCAGAAAGTGGCTGATCTAATATGCTTAGAGTAATTCATGCTTTCTCTATACATGAAGCCTTTGCAATTTTTACTGACTTTACTTTTCGTTTATATAGCTTTATGTTGACTAATACCGCATCCGCTAACAAGCGCTATCTTCTTGAAGTATTCATTAGCCCTTCGATGAGATTTTAAAGGCTCGTTTGCTCCTCCTAACCAGTAGAATGTGCAGGAGCGCTGTACCTCGTCTTCTTTGTCTGATATTTTCTTTGTTGTTTAATATAAAACTGCGCTATTTATCGTTCATCCCATTGAGTCTTTCGAGTGTTATGACGGGTTCAGTCGACTTAGATCTTCATGCTCGGCTACTGTCTGATGAAATCGATTGCGATTTTGACAATGGCTCATTTTGTCGACTACATAATAATGGTGGCTGGACTTTTCAGCAGAGTCTCTTGGAGCATTCTCAACTGAACTTACAAGTAAGTGGCCTCGCTATGTACATCCTATTACAATTATTTCATTATATATTGTCGTTTATGCTGGAAAAATTTTTTGGTTGCGTGAAAGCGTTTCATGTTTTCGATTTCGATTCCCCCCTTAGTAGAGTTATAAAATATTTTTCTATTAAAATAACTTCTGTTTTGTTTTATTTGTTTCCATATTTGAATATTTTCAGTTTGCATTTAATGAGACTTGTATTTTCTAACCGACCTGGAATCTCGGTTTGTAAAGCTGCTCTTCTTTCACTTTTTGACCTGGTTTATATTTTCAGAATATTCGTAATAATGTTCCTTCTCTAATCCCACACTCTATGCACTCTTAGAATTTGCATTGGGGTTCGTATTTTACAGAGTACACCAACCGTTGAATTCATTTAATCCCCTCAATCTCCTCTCTACCGTCATTAACTAAGACTTCGGCTAAAGGCATGTTTCATCCTAATGCTTACAGCTTTTAAGCCAAATGTCGATACTTATGGAGTTTAATTAATATTGATTGAATTTAAATTGTTTCTTGTATTTTTAATTCGCATTTGATATCTTTGTTATGAGTATTAAGAATCCGAAATTTAGGCTTCGGAGGAGCAAGAAGAAAAGTGAGAATTTGGCTGCTGATATTTTGAACCCTATTACATTAGCAAAGGTTCAAATTTGATTGATGCTTAATATCGAACAAGGTTCATGGGATTCCGAGAAACGGAGGGTTTTTTGTGTCTAATGTGTAGTTGAAATTTTAGCATATTTCTTAGAAACGAAGCTGGTAACTTTACAGCTATTATTGGGTTAAAGTCCACTCAGGCATTGGGGTTTTATTAAAAAAGAAAAGGGTAATTAGATATTGACTTTTGCTTCATTTCAGAGCAATGCCAGCTATCCAACTCCCACAAAACCAAATCAGTACATTTGTGCAGACTGGGGAGGAGCAAATGGGAATACATCGTCGGAGGAATCCGCTCGTTCCGCTGAGTTGCAAGCTTTTATTTCTCTCCCCTCGCCAAGACATCATCATCATTTCAAAGGTGGAAATGTACTTTATCTTGGAGCGGGTCCTTTGTGGCCTGTATGGACTGTTGAAAAAGGGAGAGAAAAAAAGAATTATTCGCAAAAATTTGGTCTCTGTCTCAATTTGAACGTTAGATTTTCATCTCATTATGCCTCTGAACTTACTGTTAAATTCCGCTCTTCAAGTCAGACTGTCCAAGCTACGAAAATGCCCGGACCTCTCGGGGTTCCTACCACGGCATCATCTTTTAAAGAAAGATTAATTTTTCTTAGTTACCTGGCAAGTTGGATATTTTCTTTACCTTTCAGTCCTTCATCTAGTCTTTATTCCCTGTTCTCAAGACAATCTTCACATCAATTGAAACCACCAACGGGTCAGTGGCTGCACCTCACTATGCCTCTGGATACCCATTATTTTCAGCCCGAGGCTCCACTTCCTTTCGCCCTCTTTGGTTATAATGGCGTGTGCATTGATACTATTCGTGTTGAGAGATGTGTCACTACAATCGTATCAAGTCTTTCATGGCCTCCAAATAATACCCTCTACCTCTCACTTTCTCTTCCGCCATCTGTAATTCTTTCTTCAACTAATAACAGTACCAACTACTTCAATCATCCCATTTTTACTGGCACATTCTTGTTCACTGTTTTACTGGTGATTCTTCTAGTCCTGTTGATTCTTATTTGTGGGATGTCTATTATGTTTGGACGCAAACGTAGCAATAGGGTGCTAAAAAAGAAAGGAAAGATTGAGCAGAAAAAGGTCCCCTTAGTTATACCCAGCTTGGATCTAATGCGCTCACCCTCTGTTTCTTCCCTACCCGCTGCGGTTGTGCATCAACGACAACTTGAGGAGACTTCCTATTCTCTAAATGATGTAGGTTCATTACTTACCTTATCTTACTTAAATTGTTTCATGGGTCTTTTAATTTGTTACCTCCACGTGTGGCACCTTGGACAGCGTATACTCATGCGGCAAAAAAAGTCTATAACTCGGTAATTGACTTCTTTTAATTTGTTTATTCAGTCAGAGTTTATGTGAGCCTAAGATTAAAGCTGATTAGGTAGGTACATATCATCATCTGATATTGTTAAATTTGTTTGAAAACGAGTTGTGATTACAACTTTTTTGTCTCTAGAACATTCCTAACTTTCTATAGTTGCAAGTCTAGCTCCGGGTAATCGGATTCCATTGGTTAATGTATCATGTTCACATTCATTCATTTTTATATTCTTAATTGAGTTTTTCACTAACCCCTTATACTGATTTACTGAAATCTGCAAAGGTATATTCCAGAGATTTAATAAGTATAAAAGATTGGATTTATTTTACTGGAGTTTCTTATTAAATGACTGCCAAACGGTTCCTCTGGACAGTGTCATAATGTTCTTTGGCTGTTTTGCATAAATGCCCTTCTGCACTCCTCAATGGCAGTGATGACCGTGTAGAAATCAATTTTAGTTGCTCTGTTTTGCCAACCGCCACTGTTACTTCCTTTCTATCCATCTCTATTGTTGGTAATTATTTAATTTCTTTGATATCCATTCGATTGCGTTTACTGCGCGCACTCAAGGACATGCAAATGTGGAGGAATATTGATCTATTTTGAAATGATATTATACTCCTTCTGAATCGATTTAAATTTATTTCAAGGCAATTTCTAGAGCTACCATCAGTAAGGATCTTCCATTTGATTTACTCGTCACATACCTAAGCCTTAATTACTTTAACAAACTGCATCTAGAATTTCAGCCATCTTCTGTGAGCAAATTGTGGTTTGAAATTGCCCTGGTAGGTCTCAGTGGTCTGGAAAAATGTCTCTCCTTTAGTCCTAAGTTTCATTAAGTGGAGAATAATTATATTTGAGGAAATTGATATAATTTACTTTGACAGCAACTTCTATGTTAAGTGTGGCTTAGTTACCTGAATTATTTTTAGCTTCCTTATTTCTTAATCATTTATTATTCGCTCTACCAATCTTAGAAAAGTTGTGCTTGAAATGGATTAAATCTAATTGCTCTACAATTTTTCAACAATTTCAAACAGGGAGAAGTCGTTGACAAGTGAAATATCGTGACTTTTCCCCAAATGTGAACAGTTGAAAATGTAATAATAAGTAAATAAATAAGTTCTAATTTACTATAAGCTTCATTTTCATAAGGCCTTAAATGCATAAATTCAGATCCTTTTTATTGCCAACTTTAAATGTTCGAAATAATTCAAGAGTGTAAGCCAAATAAAATTACTGATATAAAAACTCTCAATGTCAATCATTCTGTGTATACTTTGTACGGCAATTGACCACTATTTTAGGAATTCGAGGAGACCCTCAATGATACAGGCTGCCCGAATGACGGCGGTCATTATAGTCGATTCCAGAGATCACATCGCGAAATCTCTGCACAATTTCCGTCTTCATCGGCAGGCAGACGCGATAAAAGGCAATCCACAGCACCGCTACTGTCACTGCAACCATTTAATTGGAAAAGATCAACAGTGTCAAAGTCTGATGCTGTTGATCAAATTAACTCGCCGGGTGGCTTTCAGCGGTTCTCTCTTCTTCTCTCAATAAATGAGAATAATGAATTAGTCCTTATTTCTCCTGAGATCGCCAATGCCTCTTCCGTAAGGTCTATTTCGGTAAATTAGCGGTTTGGATTGTCTGCATGTTGATCAGTGGGGTTTTTATCTTTGGAATTAAATAATGAAAATTTTGATATATTTTTCTTAAAAAATTACTAGTTTCTAAAATTGCAACGACAAAAGAGGAATTTCATGATATCTCAATAGGTCTATTGCGGCTCAATTTTGCTTCCACTTGTCATAAGTCTTAAACCTTCGTCACCTTCATGGCTTCACCTAACTACTAGTTTGTTTGGCCTAATTTTATACCTTTTTCGTTTGATTATCTTCTTTGTGTAGGTTGATCATTGCTATTCTTTATGTTATGTAATTGCATTTTACAATTTGACTGCATTTTTCATCTGAAGATTCAAAGCATTTAAAATGGTCGGTTTATAATAAAAATCTAATTTGCACTTGGTGAAAATGTTACTCTTATCCTGTATTCAAGCGAAAATCTTTACAACTGTGGGAGGCAGCGTTTTTAAGGCTAATAATAATAGAAGGATAACAGAGTCACGTCGGCACGGATTTAAGAGAATCGTTTAGATAATATCCCTTAATCGCTAGATTTGAGATTAGAATCAGGTCACTTTATGAATATTAAGTAGTTGTTTTGGGTCTTTATATCTAAAACTTAGTAGCTAGTGATACAAGTTAGTAACTATATCTCAAGATGTACACTGTCTAAACCACCGTCTAAGATAAGTAAGGGAAAAAAGATAGGAGTTATGTAAATCAATACCGATCCATTAAAAGGATCATTCAAACATTTATGTGACTTGGAATATACAATATGGGTTTGTATGGTTTGCCAACGAAGTTGCTGTGGAGGGACTCTCATTACTAGGCAAAAGCGTTGAAGAGAGTAATCGCTAAAGCTGTATGTGTTACGAATTATTTGAGTCTGCTTCTTTTAATAAATATAATTGGAGGTATTCTTCAATGTAATGTGTTGATAAACTTTGTGTCAACGGCAAAACCCTACGCGTAAGTTATTTTTAGAACTGAGGGGGAAGTCAGTGATATCAATAACCTCATCTGAACGTAAAAATGTAATCAACTCCAGAAAGATGTGGTGTCGTTTTTCTGTATAGTTGATCCACAGTGAACTTTTGTAACGCTTGGAATTTTGCCAATAAAATGTATGCTCTGTTTAATAAATAAATGATAAAACGAAAGGATTTTTTCTTTATGTACATTTTACAATTTCGTCTTTTTTAAATTCAATTTTCTTATCATTGAGTTATTGATACTTATTCTTATTTAAATTGGCATGGACTTACTGAAGTATGGTCAATTTTTTAGAATGAAAAATTCATTCATAAAAAGAAAGTTGCTTCCGGTTCTTTTGTGGTGGGAATGGATTCGATAGCAAGATCAACTGAAACATCAAGATCTTGCAGCACTTCAACCACCTATACGACAACTACCGCGATGACCTCAGCAGGTACTTGCAGGCCCCTTTCCGCCCTGGAGACTGAGGCAACTCTGCAGGAAATGGCTGTATCGGTCTCCCAGCTGGGGAGAGGGTGTGTAGGAAAGAGGAGTGACGAGGACGACAATGCAACCGATCCAAGTCCTTTAATCGCGGAATCCATCACAAGCTCCATTTCTTGCCTTTCTCATGATCCGCAGCTGTCTGAACAAAAGTCTCAAGACCTTTCGTAGCCCCTAATAACTTAATTATAATTTATTCCCTTTCAACGGTGCTACATACGAAGACTAGATTATGCTTTCCACCCATTTTTTCTCTGTGAGTGTGATTACTGTAATTCGTGTTTTAATATTTATCTCTCACTCGCTACATGTACGTATATAGGTCTAATTAATTTAATCTCTCGAGGCAGGACATCTTTGAGATAAATAACGAGTTTGTTAATTGATTGTAATCTTTCTTCTGATATCAACCGATATAAGTTCGATTTAGACGGCGATAAATGAAAAGCAGGTGAAATTGTTCCGAGTTTCATCTCAAAGGACGAGTTTGCATCCCATAGAAGGGGGAAACGATGGTGATACATTTAAACTAGAGCAGGAAAGGTAATGGGAAGTAGGTTTCACAAGGGAATGAGAATAATGTCTGTCGTAAGTATCTAAGGATAAGTTCATCTAACTTCGTTAATTTCGCATTTATTACTTTGTAATTTTAGGAATCTAACCATAGATAAGAAATACTTAGGGACAAGAAGAACTAAAATTCAATAAATTAATTTCGAAACTTGTTATGTCTCTTTGATTTCCATTCACTGATACCTGATTTGCCGGACGATCATGTTTAAAATTGATTATTTTTCGGTCAATGCAATGAATTTTATTAGGAATAGGTCATAATACCTTTATCTTTGTTGTTGTAGCCGACACACGCCAATATCATGGGTGGAATTGCTCATTTTGTCTAGTATGGGAACACATTTGTGGCTGCAGACTAGTGATTCAGCATTCTTGAATTCACAGATGGCCGCACTGATGATTTAAAATGCGATCAATAATTTCACTTTAGTTTTCTATTTGTGCTATTTGATTTGTATAGCTAACAATACCTAAACATTTTTCCACACAATTCTCGGCGTTTCAAGACTCGTTCAACTGTCTTTTTTCCTCATCGTGGCTTCTCATACTTAAACAAATCGTGAATTCTAAAATGACATTTCAAGACTTCAATAAATTGAAGTGACTTCGCCGTACTTTATTTCCATAATATTTCGATATTTAGTGGTTTTCTGGTCGTGTACTAGTGAAAATCGTTTTCCTCTTTTTAAATATCCATCATTGCTTTTCTGTTTGGTTTCCATTGTTGAGTTTTTTTAACGAAATCGAAAGTTCCTTGATCGTGTTTGATACGGGTAGAAAGAAATTATAAATAAATAGACTTTTATAGTCTTAGAAAAATAAAATGATCAAATTAGTCGTGTTTACTTTATTTTCTAATACTGCCGGAATAATAATTTTGTTGAAGTAGTCGTGTGCTGCCTGATTGGCAAGTAAGAAATCTCTTCTTGGTTTTATGAATGTTTCCTCTATGTCAAGAACACGTCTACTACGATATGCTATTCATTTTTCACAGGTTGATTTTGAATCGATACTAGGGTAGTTTCCAGTCTTTTAAAGCTATTCGCCAAACGAATGTAACTGAAAACGGAACATGTGATCAGAACGAGAAATTTTAATTATTGGTATTTCCTTAAATTTTCAAGATATCAGGCGGGTATTCTTGGTGTGTTCTATTTGACCTAGTTTCTCTTATGCCATACAATTTGAATCAAATTGCATCATATAAGAATTAGACAAAACTGCACAAAACCTAACGCTTTTCATAGTATATTGTTGTTATATGATATTATAGAACCGTTACTCCAATAAGAAAAGACTAAAAAACATTAAAGTTATCCCTTTGGGTATTTTTTTACTGTACAACAAGTACACTAAATAAGATAAAAGTTGAGAATAGGTTGCCGAATATCATCTTGAAATTGATTTATAAAACACCATCCCTGCCTCAAAGCATTTTTGATGGCTTTTCTAACGTAGACACCTTTCCCAAGAGTAGCAAAAGAATCTCATTTTTAGGTGGAAATAATAATAACCAATAGCTGCATTTACAATTGTACCCCATAATAAGTTTTTATATAAAAAACACGACAAGTTAAAAAGTAATATTTTCAAACGGATACGAAAGTAAAATCATAGCCTTCACAGCTCACCAATCTAATCAATTTAGGCGAATTCAGGTTTAATTTCAAAGCAAGATATGTTCGAATCGTATTCAATCAAATAATTGTATATGTAAAAAGGCTATGGAGTATATATATATATATACAAATTGACATTTGGTGGAATTATTTTTGGGAGTCAATAAGGAAATAAATCTAAATCAGATCGACACCAACCGATTCATGCATAATATATCTTATGCAAACCACTTTATTTGAATTTAATTGATCAAAATGGTTTATAATATTTTATTTAATTAAGAATAAAATTATTTACATATTAAAAATGAATTAAATGTAAATCTATTAATATACTTGAATGAATTGTTTAAATTGATAAAATAAGCCAAAAATATAAAATGCCCTTTAAGATTCCGAGATTGGATCTAAAATGTTCTTCGCAAAGGTAGTATTTAAATCATTTTCAAATAAATTTTAGGGACTTTTGTTTGTCAGAGGAAACTTCATATTCCTTTAGCCAAGCTGACTCCTTTTCCAATGGCTATTGCACACAAGTTTCACGAGATGGTGCTCAAGAATCTTCGCAATCAGAAAAATCTGAGGTTTATCTTTAATTTGACTTAATTATGCGTGCCAGAATAACGGGTTTTGGATGTTATTTCAAAAAAATAATGAAAATGTTAGGAAAGATACTGCAACTCTTTCAAACGTTATAGGCAATAAAGTGCATATTATGTAAACTTTAATTCTAAAACTCCCTATTTTTCAGAAATTCAATTGATCAAATCCAGGACAAAATAATGGAATTCGATGCCATGGTATGATTGTTTTTGCTGCGATATTCTTTAGATGTCCAAATTTCAAGCCGAAGACTCAAATTCCCTGAATGTTGAAAATATAAGTATGTGTGGTCAGATAATTAAAATTCCTTTTGTTAAGATTACAAGCTGGAAAATATAATAAAAATGATACAAAAAATTTCCGAAAGTATGGAGAATTTGAAGGAGAATAAGGAAGATGTAAATTTGCTAATTCTCTAAGTTACGTTCTATTTAGTTAGTAACGAAGATCACTTCAATATCTGATTATCTCAGATCAGCAGTAATATCTCAGATCGCATCGAAGCATATTCTATGTAGACCAATGTTTCTTGGAGAGAGTACACTTACTCTGAAAATAGGTGGCTTTACCTCAAATTTGAAGTAAGCCCAATCGCCTCATTATTTGATAGTTTTCTGATTTCAATGGCTCGAAAGCAGATACATTTGGCAAAGATTTCAACACTGGACCTTCGAAGATGTCAGACACGGACTTTTCCACTCTTTCGAATGCAGAACAACTTAAGAGTCAATAGCTCAAATCGTTAGATAATTTTATAATAAATATACTTTTTTATAGGTACTTCTGGTGCTAATACCTTTCTAAAACGTGTTTTAAGGAATTCTAAATTTGACAACCCAACTGATGAAACTGTAAGTTATAAAAAATGAATTTATTTCATTCTTTTTAGGGAAGCCCTTTGGTGAGAAAAAGCAAAAGCTTATCAATAAAGTTCTGGAGCAGGCAAAATTCCGAATCTACAACAAAAACATTGCATACAGCCAATGGGCAAGTTATAACTGCAAATATTTTTCATCCTGAAACTATTTTACTGTCGTTATTGTTTGGTGAAAGTTGATCACTTTTTTGACGTAATGATAGTCTCCTTTTCGGATAATTGTTACACTCATATTTCGTCATTACTCTTGTAACCAATCTTATAGAATTTATTATTAAAACGGATAGAAAAGTTTTGATCAATACGATTCCAAGTCACATAGGAAGATAGCTAATTAAGTTGATCAAACTGTCCATATTTTACATAACTTCAACATGTTTTATTTGATCTGTAGTTTAAAATACCCGGCAAAAATGTATTCTTTATCTATTATTTTTGAAAAAATCGTTCTCACCTTCGAAGTTATCATAATTTTCGATGGCATAACAATCAACAGTTTTGAGATTCTTTCAGCCTTACAAAATTCAAGAGTGATTAGGCCATTATATGCAAGAATGCCATTCCAAGTTCTGATATCAGTCTTCCTTCTCTAATAATTTAAATTTGAAATGTTAATGAAGCATCGGATTAACAATTATCCGAGGTGGAAAACATTTGGGGATGAAGAATAGAACTAAATTCCCGTAAGGTACCAAAATTGGATATTGCGCCAAGGACTATTTTAGCAAATTAACAGATCATTATGAGCAGAAATGAAAAGGAGTTTCTTGGGAAAATATTAAGCAGAACTTCATAATTTGAGCCCAACTATAAACCAAATTATAATCGACTTGCGTTTTAATCAAATGTTTTACTTTTTATTATTTAGCAATGGTAATAAATCGAGCATTCGATGGAATGGTCATGTTGGACGACCAATGGCTGTGAAGCGGCTTAAAGAGCCTCTCAATTCGCAAGAGGATATCTTTCTTGATTTGTCCAAAAACGATGGTGACGATGATAAGGAAGAGGATGGTTTCACTTCCTCTTCCGACGACTGCATCAGTTTGAGTGCCCTCCTCGAAGAATAGGCTTTTTGTAAAACTACTTTTAAGTTGTTTTTTCCCACCATCTTTTATACGTGAAATTCTATCTTGCTTATAACGTTTACCATTACTGAAGGTGTTTCGAAAAATCGCCGGTCTTGTGAATATGTGCGATTTATAAGAGGACTACGCATGATAGGGTTCGCAAATGACGAATGGAATATCGAAATATGTATAAAGAGGATTGACATGTTATACATGAGTAGCTAATGCAGGATATAAGTACTATTGGTATTAACGAACCCATTCCATATAAGACATTTTACTTAGCTGCAGGTTCAAATAGACTACGTGCAACATTGAGCCCATGAGCTATTTAAAGTTCATAAATTAATAGGCGAAACAGTATGTGAGTAAGGGGAGTTACTAACGCATTAAAGCAAAAAATGATGAAAAGATGAAAATATATTTGTACAAATAGTATCTCGTTTGAGAGAGTTCATTTTTGGGGTTTAGTGGCAAGCAACTTGAAAGGATAGTTAGCAGGATCGAGATTACGAACAGAAAAGAGTCTAGATGCGCGCTCTGAAACAGTTCCGCCACATTTCAGTCCTCTGATTGAGAGAGCATGCTTCAAGGACTCCAAGCCATATGACTCCAAATGGGATGCAGATGGCACACTACTGAGGACATCATCGGTAATGACGGCGAAATTCGAAGCATTTTGTACATCGACAGCTATAGGAGTGGGTGCCCGAACATCGGCAGATCTATTTTTGCTGGAAGTGGGATTGGGTTCTTCCGTTTCATTACCTTTTGGTTCAGATGCATGCATGACCCGAGGAGTTTCTACAGGCTCTAAAATAGATTCGTAAAATATATTTACTTATTTATATCAAATGGCAGGCGTTTTAATGGTTATCATTAGCCCTTTAGTTGACTTCAGGCTTCACAGAGTGTAAGGAACATCAAAGTGAAAAAGTCGAGATTGAGGAAGGGGGAACAGAAGAGTGCTTCAAAGACGAAGGGAGAAATGGTAGGAAAAAGGTGAGGTGAGTACTGCGAAAGTAGTCGAATATGATATACAGTGGGGTCATGGTAGTTAGAAGTCAGAAGTCAACTGCCGGTTTATAGACTTTTTTTGCCGTATGGGTATACGTTGCCCAGGGTGCACCACGTGGAGGTATGTCTATCGCACAACCCCGATTCGTAAAATATAGGTGTACGAAAAATCCCAAAACTGTTATAACTATTCTTACCTCATTTATTTCCTAGACTAACTTTAATGGCGGCGGGAAACAATTAGTCACAACTAATTGAGGCCATAACAAAATTCACATATACGACTATCTACGTTAACAAAATCTTTATTTAGTTAGATACTTTATCAAAACGAAACAGGAATCGATTTAACTTTTATAACATTACTTAAATCTCAATCCCAATCTCTCCTAAACCTCAATGAACAGAGAAAATGACGATAAATATTAAAAAACAAATCGGCAAAATGTCCCATCAAACAAAAATCAAAAGTTAAAGCCCTGCATTAAAATTCACATACTGATATTCGAACGCAATTTAATCTAAGCTGATTGCGACAAATATTTGAAAATCACTAGTACTAGAAGTCCAATATAGTTCTCACAAGATTAAGGTGAGAAATACCATATCGAAAACAGTCAAACTATGCGAACCCATGCGAACTCAAACAACACGGAACGTTCGACTGTGATACTGACAGCCTTAGAAAAAAAATGAGGTTGCGAGCAAAAAGACCTCTCAAACAACCAGCAAACAAGTCATTACTGGAGCAGCGAGAACAAAACAGCAATTAATGACTGAGCTCCATGGTCATTCCACATCAAGGAGACACACCAAAGAATTATCCCAACCCCAATAAAGCCCTGTTTCCTCTTTATTATAGAGGTAGTTCAAACTATTTCTAGAGTCATTCAATAACAGGGAACTTCGCCATAGATATTCCTGATTAAGTCAAGGCTTATTCGAGTAGAAACTCGCTGCAAAGGCTTTCAACAAAAGCAATGAGGATAATAGCTAAATTTAAAAAGATCTATAAACCAAAATTAGTACTAGATCACAAAAAGTATTAATAATCAAAATACCAAACGAAGGATGTATAAAGAAGCTTACCATCAGTTTGAGGGGACTTAGACAAAGACGAAATAGGCTCAGAATCAGCAGATAGCACATCAGAATCTGCATTGCCATCTTCATCACCATCACTACTAGAAAGGTCATAACCATCGATTGTTTCAATCCAGAGCTTTCGTCGCTTCTTGGAGGGGCCAGCCGAGGAAGAATCCGCGCCAATCTTCTTCAACAAATCTTCCACGGCATCCTGCAATTCTGCATATATATGCTCTTTCCGTCTGCTGAATTCAGGATCATTGAATTTGTGATCATGAAGAGGACCTTTGGCAAGGGCTTCACGACGACGTCTCTGTTTTTCAAGAACTTTTTCCAGCTTTGCACGCTCACGTTCACTGGCATTCCCATACCACTCCTTGAGCTTGGTTTCCGCATTTACATCTCGAATGCGTCGACCAGAGAGATCTCGGCACATGTCATTGTTATTAGTTTTCTCTATTTGATTACCGATAGCCCTAAGCATAGATCCAAACCCCCCTTTGCCGCCACGTAAACGAGGATGAATCCTTATGACAACGCCATCTTCAAGAGCGTTTATATCTTTACAATTTCGAACTAGCCGTCCATTCGCAGTAAAGTAGCAATCAACATTCTCAGTACAAAGTTTTAGATATTCATTACGGGTTAAAAATCCTTTCGAAAATATATCACTGACTTTCATCACTCCACACTAAAACTGGATTAAAAAAAGACAAATTTAGAAATCCGAAAATAGAATAAAAACGTTACTTAAAGAAACTATCTACTGCATAGATACGAAATAATCAAAGCCTTACATGGAAAACAACGAATAAAGCACGCAGAAATTTTGAAAGTGCCGCCTAACAACATGTCTGCATTTTCAAAGAAATTTATAAATAATTATTCAAACACTAAAATATATTTAAAGAAAAANTTATTATAATTGTACTCACCTACTGGCTCCTAAAACGGAGACTTCTTCGTAAGGTATCTTGTCGGATAGTGCTTTTGCGGCTTTTATTTTATCTGTATGCCGAGAATGCATTTTGTACTGAAATTATTTAGTTTTGTGCAATTTACTTTTTGTTCATTAATGTTTTATTTTTGCTTTTTGCATTTCCATGCTTCGGCACTCTATTTTTTTATGCGTTGTCATTTTGCAACGACGCATTTTTTATTTTAAATATTTTTCTAGCTATCCCGTTCATGCATAAAATGTACTTCCTGAATTTTCATCGGTTTTGTATTTGTTCTATTTTTAATATTTTTTTCTTTTAAACTAGCACAATTATGTCTGTTTCTCAATCCAGTCCAGTCGTTGTAAATGTTTATGACATGGTAATATTATCCCTTTGTTCATTATCTTATATAATTTTTAAAGGACTTTAGTCGTCGTTTAATTACCCTTTTATCTAACTTTTGTATTTCTTTTGAAATATTTCTTCTTTTAGTCTTCGTTAAACGAGTACATTGGAAACATTGGTTTAGGTGTCTACCATACGGGTGTTGAGGTATATGAAAGGGAATATTGCTACAGTGGTCATCAATTTGGCGGTTCTGGAATATTTGAAATGGTTCCGCGGGATTCCGATAATCTTGGTCCTAATTACATTTTTAAGTAAGCATCATTCCTACAAATTTCCTAATTTATTCAACTTTTATTTTCTTTTTTTCAATAGAAAATCCATTGTTGCTGGTTGCACGGATTTTTCTTATCGTGATGTGTGTACCATTCTCAGCACCATGGAAAGAGAATTCCGTGGTGATCAGTATCATTTACTTAGAAAAAACTGCAATCACTTTTCCAGTGCATTTGTTGATGTACGTTGCGTTCCTTCTATTTAATCTTACCTTTATATTCATTTTGACTATGTTAAATTTCGTACTTGAATTATTTTTTTTGTGTTTTTCACAATTTATTGGAGTATTTGTTGCCCAAAATTACAAACTGTGTTGTTTTCATTTCACTATGTCGTACTATAGAATTTGCCTTTTAAATTTTATTAGCCGCTAAAATACTTTTCAGGGGTCAGAAATTTATCATGTTGAAAATGTAGCTTGTAATTATACATTATAGGTCACTTGAGTAACCATAAAAATTTTATGATCTCTTAAAACGAAAATATAAGTTTCCCGATTTATTCCCTTTACCATTATATTCTCTTTGTTATATTCGCATTAATCCCTGTGCATTTCGATTAAACTGTCGTCTTTTTGATGCTCATTTTGTGGGGACTCTCGGAATTATTCGTTGCTGTCTACAGAAGTATCAATTTCCGGTTCAAATATTGACCCGAATTTCCATTTTTAAAACTTTTCCCGTTATCGCTGGTGCCATATTGTCTTGACAGTCTGATTTTTTCATATTAGACTTTGTAAGATATCTTATTCATATCAAATGGCAGGCGTTTTGATAGTTATCATCAGTCCTGGAGCTGACTTCGGGGTTTTGAAAGTTATCATTAGCCCTGGAGCTGACTTCGGGGCTTCACAGCAGAGATAGGAAGGTACATCATGACAAAAGTCGAGAGAGGGATCAGAAGAGTGATTCATATATGTAAAAGAGACAGACAAAAAGGCATAAAAAAGGTATTTATTTACTTATATCAAATGGCAGGCGTTTTGATAGTTATCGTTGGCCCTTAAGTTGACTTCAGGCTCCACAGAAGGGAAGGATCATCAAAGTGAAAAAAGTCGAGAGGGAAGAGAAGAGCGTTTCAAATATGTAAAAGAGACAGACACAAAGGTGGAAAAAAGGTTAAGATGGGTACTGCGGAAGTAGTCGAATATGACATGGTAGTTTGAAGTGAGAAGTCAACTGCCTTTTTTTTACTTTTTTGCCGTATAAGCATACGTTGCCCAGGGTGGACCACGTGGAGGTAAGTCTATCTCACACCCCGGCATAAAAAAGCTAAGATGAGTACTATGGAATGGGTCGAATATGACAAATAGTCGGGCCATAGTAGTTTGAAGTCAGAAGTCAACTGCCGATCAATAGACTTTTTTGCCGTATAAGTATACGTTGCACACCCCTTGTAAGATATCTTTGTTTATTCGAACTGTCACTCAATTAGTCAACATTGGCTTTGATATCAAAGTATTCAAAGTCAACCAACAAGAAATTCCAACGTGCAATCTAAATTTATAATGACTTTATATCTATGTTGTCGCGTCCTTTGTTTATTTGCGTAATTATCGTTTCGACACCATAATTTTTATGCTAACGCTGTTTCTTAAATAGTTAGGTTTTATTAAGATATTCTCTCTGTATTCACATACTGCTGCTCATATAAATTTTTGATATAGTTTCAAGTTTAATTTGTCCTGTTTTCAGATCCTCTGTGGCGGGACTTTGCCCAAGTGGATAAATCGATTAGCTTCGGTGAGCACAAAACTGCCCTTCATTGAAAAATCCATTCCCAAGGAATGGCTTACACCTCTTCAACAGGTGAAGTTCTTCTGTCGTCACCACTTTCCGCTTCTATTTTAATTTCTCTCTACGTTGTTAAATACGAGTATGTGGTTCTCATAGGTTTGTCCATTTGAAGAGAATTCTACGTAAAAATGTTCTTATCTTGGTCAATATGCAATTCATCTCTTCGTTTCGTTTTTTAAATTTATCTGACGTTTGTATTATCTCCAACCCCCTACAAAATTTGATAGTATTTCCTAATTAAATGAATAGGTAACACCGTTTCTAACCTTTGTGGATTACGGGCCAATCGTTCATTTATTATTCTTTTGACATCAATTTATTTCTACCAGTGTTCACATTTCAGGTGATTTTATTTATAAAGAAGTTCGTTCATCAATTAAGAAAATCATAACGGTTGTATTGCACTTTGTCACTTGATTCAACAAGGATTGAATATAAGTAATGTTTGTTGTCATGTTGTCAAGACATCAAGTACCTACTATAAAATGGGGGATTTAGGAGTAGAACTGATTTGTGTCTAATTTGTAGTATTTATTTTGCTGAAAACAGTTAATCATTTTTTATTTAGGCCACTCTTTTCATGATACAAAAGAATAGAACGGCAAAGCTGTGCTGTAAACGGTTCTTTGAGTTATCTAACAGTAACCTGGACAATTGATGACCTGCAAGGAAAGTCGAGTTTATGCAAACGCTTTATAAACAGCTTGACATTAATGGAAATCATCATTGGTTAGTGTGGTGGGATATATCTATCATAGATATCATGCAGAAATCACGACGAGTTGGTGTTAATGTTTTAACTGTGACCCTTGAGGATTTTGGTTAGAAAAATTAAATTCCACTAGGAGAATTTTTGCTTTAGGCCTTATTGGCTTGAAATATTTTTGCATTCAGTACTTGTTTTAAAGGTTATCTGGTATGAAATTTCATTTTACCCTATTTTTCACCAACGTTTACAGTAGCTTATTGATATAGAGATGGTATGGCCAATGTCAAAGATGTCTCTATGTATCAGGAAAAACAAGTGCATAGTCTGAATCCTTTGGTTTCTTCACTGAATATGTTCTCTTGTAAACCGTGTATTAGTTTTACCCATGACAATTTCTGAAATCCATTAATGAATTATTGCTTTGATTTCACATGCGCATTAACTTTAAGTTGAAAAATCGCGTTCGCATTTTCGGACTATCGATGCTACGCAAATAGAAAGTGCGTCCTTCCTTAACCAGAGCATTCTTTAGAAACGAACACTTTTCAACAACACCCTTATCAATAAACAACTTTTTCTTCTAATCTAATAGATTAAGTTAGGATAAGGGTTATCAAGTAATACCGTAAACCATCTTCAGGATATGGTAGATTTAATAAAATACAAATTTAATTTCCTAATCGAACCGATAATTTCCACTTACAATAAATGGTTATCATTTTTATTGATTATTATGTTAAATTCTGCTTTTATGCGTTTGTGCCACGTCCATTGCCATTCAGTTCCTTAAAATGGCCACTGATTTGTCCCAGTGGACTTCATCCTACCGTTTTCAAAATTTTCATTGATAAATATCTCTTGTGTTTCGTGGACGTTTTCATGCTTGAATGAAATTGATTCCGTTGTTTCAGTAAGAAAACTAATTGCACAGGCCGTTTTGATTATTCATTCACGAAAACTGTTTCAAAATGTTTTGAAAGTGGAGACATATTATATCAAGATCGAATTTTAGCATCGTCAAGGCTGTAGAGCTTATACTTAGGGGTAAATTTGGCTCTACCCATAACTGTCTTCCATTGGGTCCTTTGTTGTTTCCTGCGAAAGTTTGTTAAATTGAAATAGTGAAGAGGCATTGGAACCTTTGTGGCTTGACAGTCTTTTCGTTTTTACAGCCTTTTATGATTTAGTGCCGTATTCAGTTTCGGTTTTGTCTTAAAATTGCGGTTTCCACTTCACCATTACCTTAGTCGTTGTCCAATGGCTCTTCACAATTGACCTAGATCCGGTCTCTCTTTGGCCCATGTTTGTCACAAGGTCAGAAAGAATAATTTCCGTCCTTTTTCTTCCTAGACTAATGAAGTGTCTACAAGATCGAGAGCAAGCAACCGCCTTCATCCCCTGATGTCTCGTCGCAGCACAACAGGCTCAATGTCTACTCTACCTCAAACACCATGTCGAACGAGTACCTACGAAACAACACCTTCAGCGACGAGTCCCGGTGAACAGTGGCGTCGATTCCAGATGAATTTCTCTAGCTATTTCTCCCGAGCATTTACTGGTGCTGCCAATGGAACTGAGGGAAGTAGCAGTACCTCAATGTCCACTCCTCCCTCGGAAGAGTCTTCCAGTCGAAGACCCAGCTAATTACTTAGAGCAAACGATTTATCAGGTGCAATACACGAGATTTCACTGTACTATAAAATAAGGAATATTAGTTTCCTCTGATGCGCCGTCTCCTAGTCTTCCTAAAAAATCCCTGTTTATTTTTCCGTTGGTTGGACTTCTCTCTAAATCGGATCTCAAAAACTTCCCAATTCCCTTTTGCTTTGACCATTTTTAAATACAGAGATATGGCTCCAACACAAACACTTTAATATTAATCCAGACTGTACATAGAAAAAGATTTAGGAAAATGTGGTTACGGAAGAAGAAACATTACTGCTGTTGTTGGGATTGTTGCTGCTTGTGCCAATGAGCCGCAAAACCGGCGTATTGGCCACTGCTTAGCATGTGATGAAGGCGTTCCACTTCATCCATAGTCTTCGCTCTCTTGATAGCATCTTGAATGGCATTTAGATCTTGACTATTTCCACCACTCATTATAACACGCTTTACACCCGGGTGAAGGGTTGCCTGTGGAAATTCTCGAGGTAGGGGCTGTTCACTGGAAGAGGTTTTTTCCAGAGGCTTAGATAGAGCGACATTGTCTGTATTTTCATCTGTAGTCTTTTTGCCAACAGGGGCGCCAGGAACGAAAGTTTTAACACCAGCTGACTTCGAGTTATTGATGTCAGAAATTGTATCCGTTTTAGTAACGGGCGCAAGGTGCTTAACAAATGAGCGTGCCTGCTTACGTTCTGCGAGAGTTATGCGTTTGAAATCCAAAAACCGAAGCTAAATAAAAAAGAAACAAAAAATAAGAATAATGTAGCAAATTAAACTTAATAAAAATGTAGGCATACCTGAGGCAGCCGACCGATCACGTATAACCTATAGTTCATTTTCAGTGTAACTGGGCACCGAACCAGAGAAAGAAATGTGAGCTTGCTCAAGGGAACCAATGGGTCAAGATCTTTCAACTCCGCGATATTATTATCAGTGAGAATCAGTGTTTCGAGGTTGGGTAAAGAGGACACAATATCCTCACCTATTCTGATAACCTAAATAAAAATAAAAAAGGTTAATATTTAAAACTTAACGGTCACCTTGTTTGAAGTTACAATAAGTGCTTTGAGACGCTTGAGAAGGGGAAAATTATCCAACTTCCGAATTTCATTGTCAGTAAAATCAATACAATCAAATTGATCCAAAGTACTACCTAAATTCTCAATAGCTGGCACTTTGTAGCCTCTGAGGTCAAGCTCTCGATCCTTTAGAGGATTGGTGTATTGCATAGCCCCTTCTACTAGATCTACCGTTAATTTAACCATTTTGTTAGATTCAAAATCACAAAAGAGGCAATCACGGCTGTCAAAATAAAGCGCGCAAAAGCTGTAAAATAAAACGCCCACCTTTATAAGTTTATAATTAAATAAATACTTTAATATTATTAAAAACATAATTTTTTAAGCAGTCATATCATTTATATACATCTTTTTTGTTATTATATTATTCAGACCTATAAATGTAAAAAAAATTAAATTGGTTGTAATTTTACTACCTATATTTATCCATATGTATCTCTATTCTTAGTCGCAATCGCGAATTGCGTGATTTTTTAAACTGGCATTATTTTCGAGCTTTTGCAATGCAGTCCGCTGGTAGAATTGCTGCTTCGTCCCAGCAGGCGCATTCTCGCAAAAGAGATACTTATTTAAGTAATTTAAATTCCAGACTGCGAGAATCTCTTAAATGCATACTAGAAAATTACGAAATGATGCTATCCCGATCAAAGTTGGAAAACCAGCCAATTCTTAGTCGCTGCGACCCGTATTCAGTTGTCACGCAAGGAAATTACGAATGCAATGTTAGAGCAGCAAATATAGTATGTTTTGTTGCTAATTTTTGAAATTTTTTTATTTATTTTTGATAACAAGTTTGATTTATTATCCTTTACACTTGAATGCTTTTAGGTTAATGCTTGTGAAGCAATTACTCGCCTTGTATCCGAGATAAAACTATTATTAGTACTTGGTGATTTTCGATGGTTAGAGGCTTCTGTGAAGGAAGAGGCCGAAGAACGACAGCATCGTTTTTTTGATCTTGTTGAATCAACGTTGCGCTTACGCGAGTCCATTTCTCGGGATCTTTCCTCTCTAGAAGAGGTATTGGGCTGTACCCCACGCCGTCCGAGTGAACGATTATTTCCTTCTGAATGCAACATTTTGGACCCAACTAACGATTTCCCCCATTAGCGTTTATATCTTTCTGTTATGCGCGTTTTATTTTGTTTCCTGTTTTTTGAATAACGATTTCGCAACGCTCAATTTTGTTTCTACTTTTGAACTCAAAGGGATTTGTCGCTATTTTAACGTCACAGTCTTTTTATTTTATTATTTGGATATGTCTATTTTTGCGGTATATTTTTAATTTTTAGTATCTTTTGCATATTTGAGTAGTCGCGCCTTTTGATGATTCTTCGAAATGTCTTGGATTCAAATACTTATGGTAACGGATTTTCGGTCACAGACAAATGCAGTGAAATGGCCATTCTTTCGCTCGGTTGATATATCCAGTATTAAATAGCCCCACCAATGATCCGCATATATTACTTAATGTCGGCTTGCTGCTCAGTAGATCCAAGTGGTTTCAAGTCACTGTCAGTGGCATTAATCATTCAATTTAATTCACACCAAGATTCCTAAGTTACAAGTCAGGATGGTTTTTACAGGGCATTTTGCAGTAATATCACGTTCACTGTGATAAATTGTCAGCCCGGTTCGTATTAAATTTGTAGGACGACATTAGAAGCGTTTCTGAATTTATGGCTTGACGGTTTTAACACTACAGTTCGAGTTCCTCCATGTTCTTTCGCACCATTCATCATTGAGCCGGCTATTCCGTCACGTATTAGACACCCTGTTTTTATTGGTTGCGTTGACAACATTGAACGAACTGTAAAATATACTAGGCTTTCTGGAAGTCTCCCACTCTCCGATATTTACGGTCCCTGTGAATGCAATCTGTGCAATGTGTTTCAGTCCATTTCAATAGAACGATGAAGTCTATTCTTCCGGAATCCTTGCACACTTGCTTTTTAATTTAGCATGACCATGTGCACTAGCGTTCTGCTGAATCAAAGCTCTGTCGTCAAGACGGTGGCCATTCAACGGCAATCATTACCTAAATCATCGGTTCTCAAAAGTTGGAAGAAAGCTTACATTGATACTAGGACTATGGGTATTGCGAAAACTAAAAAGAAACAAGAGACACTTAAATGGATATTTCGCAAAAAAAGATTTGAAGTTCGATTGTTAAAAATTTAACATTAAAATCCTCATCTGAGCTAATTTTCAAAATTCGATATCAGATCAAATTTTTAGGTTCAAGCAAGCTTTCGTCGAACGGTTCATGGCAGATGTGCTCTGCTCACTTGGGCTTGTGATGATCCGGTCCATTTGGACAAACGGAGCTTTTTAATTTGGTTTGGTCTCCGTGCGTTGAAGAAATTAAAGTCTTTTCACTTATAGATAACCACCAATTACCCTCTGAACACATGCTTACATTTATCAAACTAGTTATTAAAAGTAAAATAGGATTCTCTATCAATGAAATAGACTGATTTGAGATAAATTGGGCTTTGTTCTAAGTTAAGATAGAATTTTCATGCTCCTCCGGCCGTTCTATTAGTTTAACTAAACTTTTGATTTTTCGACATAATATATATGTCCACTGGTTTCATGAAAACCCCTGCGAAGCTTTCCATGATTTGTCCAGGTTTATGAGTATATGAGGACAACGCACTCACCCCCTTTTTAATAAAGAATCAGCTCGCTAATCTTGCCTTTTTCCACATAATAATTCAGTTTTAGATAATATTCCTCGAAATATTTACAATAAATTGCGGTATTAGAGGTAGATAGTATTTTTAGAGAGGAATTTTATTGAAACGCACCCGGATGTAACTGAATCCTGTTCTATGGGCAAGGTTATTCTAGCAATACAGAAAAAACAACACTGATGTCGAAAGCGATTCCGATATAATGTGAAAACAAACATATTGTAATAGAGTTAATAAAATATTACATATAGTCTTTCTCACTATTACTTTCTCTTTGACAAGTATATATTAGTTTCAACAGCAAATCATTAATTATTTCGAGATAGTGAATTGATCACTCCTTTTCTTTGCCGATTTTGTTTATAAATTCATTTCATAATTACTATTTCACATCTAGAAAGAGTGGCACATAGGCAACTGCACATATTTCTGATAAATATTCTAATGGACAGCATTCAGATCACCCAATTCCAGTTTCTAGATGAAACCTATATAACCTGAAGGTTTAGAATGAAACGCAATTGTCTGTAAAACACTTTCTGGGAATAATGTCTGTAGGAAAGTCCTTCCACGATTACTGTTTAGTTATAAACAGCTGGAATAACCAATTCCATTTGCGAAATGTTAAATTTTGCAATTCCACCTGGGTGATTCTGTGTTAATTTTTAAAATACTTAAAATTATGGACATTTTTAATGTTACTTATCACATACTACGCCTCAAAAGCAGCACCAATTTTTTAAATAGCGTATAAACAAACATCTTCCCATTTCTTTATCAATTCTCTTTCCTCGTAATGTGAATAGAGTATGCGTACTTTGTACACAAATATAAATTATCAAACTAACAATTTAAATTTAGATTTCCTCAGGCTTTTGGTTTCCTTTCAACATATTACCTTTCATCGGAAATATCTGAACATGTTTTCATGTGATTTATCAATTGAATATTTTTCAACCAATTATTACACCACCTATCTACTATGCAAGAGTCTACCAATTAGCAATATTGTAGTAACAGCGACATCAGTGAGCATATACGCCGCAAAATAATTGACGATCCTGGTTCTGGTCACAAACCAGTCATTGCTAGTATTACCATCGGCAGCAAAAGCTTGTCAAGGAAAGTGCCAATTAAACTATCATGGAACTTCAAGAAGGCTGACTGGTCTAGATTCACTAACCTTTTAGGCAATGAACTTCACACAAGTCCCCCCAACTTCAACCAACATCCTGACAAACTTTGCAACGATATCACGAATATTATGATCAGATGTGCAAAGAAAACTATTCCCCGAGGCAAGACTAAACACTATCGAGTGTTTTGGTCTAAACACCTTGAGGAACTGAAAAGAAATCGGGACGCCCTTCATAACACTGCTGATCAGACTGGAAGAACGGAAGA